ATAGACCCCCTTATAGATCCTTTTAAGGATCCCTTTAAGGACCCTAGGTCTATTCCTTCCTTAAGGGGTTTTGGAGTCTCCGGGTTTCGGGGTCGGACTTAGCCACTCAGGGCTTGCTGGGTTTCAGGGTGTAGGTTTAGGGTTTAGGGTGGTTTAGGGTTTAGGGTTTAGGGGTTAGGGGTTAGGGGTTTAGGGTTTAGGGTTTGGGGTTGTCAGGGTGTAGGTTTCATGGTTTTTGGGCTTTAGATCAGGCGTGAGAGTGCAGGGAGTTCATGAGGTTTAGGGGCCTTAATAGTTAGAATAGGGTTTGGGGGTTCCTTTGTACTATAACTATAAAAGGAACCCCCAAAGTAGTATAGGTAATTCTTTAGGCCCCTACGGAGGTTTAGGGTTTGGGGGATTCGGGGGGTTGGTGGTTGCAGTCGGCCTTCAGGATTCTGCTCGATCGGATTGCTGTTTAGGGGGTGGTTTGGTCGTTGCAGGTGAATGCTATACTACTATATCATAGCAAAGTACTCATTATGTTGTTAAAAGCCTGCTGTCTTAATTATGTTATGCATCACCTATGATATCACGCTTCCTCTAGTCTTTGGTGCTTCTTTGGCTGTTCCTAAGGGCTCGTATATTTGGTGTAGTTGACCAACAGCAAATCATTATGATGATTGTTTATGATAGCCTGGGTTGTCCTTTAGGATCTTTTTAATTTTCCTACTATTTTGAAGAGAACCATAATAGTAAACAGTTATCAAGTGGCTTAAAGGACAACTCAGTAATTTGTTGTTATTGTCATTATCATTGTTACTGCCATTGCTATAGTCATTGTTAGTGTTGTTGCCAGTGCTTTTGTCATTGTTATTGTTAGTGCCATTGCTATCGTCAATGTCATTGTACTTTTTATACGTTATACTAACCATTCATAGTGCTCTGACTCTTATGACAATGAAGATGATAACCCTAAACCCTAAACCCAAACCCTGTTCTTCTTGGTTTCGTTTATTGTATAGCTTGCGTTGTGCTCAGAGGCCCAGGGACTTAGTAAGTAGAGTTATAAGTCCCCTAGATGAAGTTACCCCGATTATAACCCGCTTATGACCGACTTACTAAGTCCCCTCGGCCTCCACGTAGACCCTAAACCCTAAACCCCTAAACCCTAAACCCCCTGATAGAACCCTTATGGAACCCTTAGAGGAACCCTGAACCCTACGCCACCTAAGTTTTCTGGGTTCTTCCCGGGCTGAGTTTTCATTAAAGGCTTCCAGACCTCCAGGGAGACCGTGTGGCCTTTGGATGTAGGACTTCGCAAGGTTTGGGGTTTAGGGTATAGGGTTTAGGGGTATAGAGGTATAGGGTTTAGGGGTATAGAGGTATAGGGTTCAGGGTTTGGGGGTGTGGGGTTTTGGGGTTTGGGGTTCGCAACCTTTCGATCGTCAGATATGGTGATCTTGGCATCGGAGGTAACATGGCAACACTCTGAAACCCAGGGCCTTACACAAGTCCCCATCCAGCCCTCTGATTGAGGGGCTTGTCGTCGGCTTAAGTTTTCGGGTACCAGTGCTTCATCTGATAAGCCGAAGGCAACTTTTCGAATTTCACCAACAACTCTGCCACGCCCACTGCCACCACGATCCAGGTGGAGGCACGGAGCCCCAAGGTCTTTCAGAACAAAGGGAACTCCCCAATTCGTTTAGGGGGTTACCCGGACCCTGAGGAACCTACCCTTTTAGGACCCCCTGAAATGATTTCTTTAGATAGGTCCCTAAAACGTAAAAAGCTAGGTTATTTGGGGTTAAGGTAGGACTCTTTCCAATTCAGGGAGATCCAGATCGCGGGTTATCATACGAGCGCCCCAAGCCGCAAGCTTTTTTAAACAAAGCCCAAAGCTAGAAGCATCGGGTTAAGAGCCCTCCGAGATGGTTGTTTCGAATTCGGCGGACTGTAGGGTTTTTGGCGTACGGTTTCGGGTTTCGGGCTTCGGGTTCGTGGGTTTAGGCTTTAGTCTGCAGTGGCGCTGTAGACTCTTCGACCTTAGATTCATCTCAAAGCGCATGTCTCATGTCAGAGCTGGCACTATCAACAAACAAAAAATCGGGGGGGTACCTTATTTTGGTGTCTTTATAACAAGGGTCCTACTATTGAGGGTACTATCTTAGGGTCCCCTACTTTCGGAGGAAACCATTTCAGGGCCCGTTCAGTAACTTTTGTCACGCTCAGGCCTTTAGGAAGTAATCTTCGAGTTCGAACAAACCTGTTCGTGGAGAGCAAGCGTCGCGATGACGACCGTCATTCGGGTTTTCAAGAGCCACAGTCAGGCCGCTCATAAACTTTGAGTGATAGGGACAAAGAAACAAGGCCTTAGACATGTCCTATTCCGAATTCCTGCACCCGGAGCCATAATCCCACGCCTGTGAAGCGTGAGGCAGGATGAAAGTTAGACCTGCTCGAAGCTTCATTTCAAGCCAGTTTCTCCCGAACAGTCCTAGCCAGCAGAATCATGCTGCTCGTACTCCCCCGGATCATGTAAAGCAGTCCTGGCAAGCAGGACACTCCCGGTACATGGTACTCCAGAACATCTAAGTAGTACAGTTCAAACCGGCATACAAGACACTCTAAATTCGAGATACCCTATTTTGGGGTCCTTATAACAAGGAGCCTGCTACAGTTGATGGACAAAATCCTGCATGACGCTGAGGACTTTAAACTATGGGAACTATGGTATATTCCTTATAATGGGCAATGCAGGATTTATATACCTAAACCCCAAAACCCTATAGTTCCTTCAAAGGAATCCCTTAAGGGTACCCTTATAGCTCCCTTTACAGGAACCCTAGGATTTTTGTCCATCAGCAGTATTTAGGGTCTACAGAAAGGTTGTTCAGCAAGCGCCCAGAAACTGGGAGTCCGCGAACTCGTGGATGTTTAGGGTCTAGGGTTTTGGTCTGGGTTAGGGTTTAGTGGTTTAGGGGTTCAGAGGTTTAGGGGTTTGGGGCTATATTCGGGTCCCCTGCTTTCGGAAACCCCCCATGTAAGGTTCCAGCGGAAGGCTCGGGCTGGAACCGGCATCCCGGAAGAATAACGATAGTAATAACAATAATAGTTATCAAAATATGATAATTGATGATGATACAGAAGACAAAGAGGAAGAAGAAAAAGCCTCGTAAAGTGCCTGATCCGTCATATTTTTCACTGGAATGTATGGGTGGTTGTCAAATTATGGTGCCTTTTTGGGGTCCCTATTTTTATACGGCACATATTTAGGGTGCCCAATTAGGGACCATAATTTTGACAGCTACCCCGTATGTTGTTATGTCGGTATCATAAAATACAGCTAAACGTTGTTGTGATCATGAAGGCCACCATACTAAGCCATTGCAGTAGCCCGTATAGAAGCCCTTAAAGCCAACCCTCAACCCGAAACCCTAAATCCTACACCCTGAACCCTAAGACTTGAACCCTGAACCCTGGACCCTAAACCTGAACCCCAAACCCAAACCTTAAACCCTAATTTACTCATTAAGGCTCCTCCCCCCAGATAGTATCAGAAGGCGGAGGAGTCGTCAGAAGAGTTTGAGGAGATTTCCGTAAATTTCGAGGATGCGCCCGGGGCCCTCACAGGGCGGGAGGGGGGGCGGTTGGGTTGGGGGTTAAGGGTGTAGTGTTCGGTGTAGTGTTCAGGGTGAAGTATCTTTTGAGGGTTGAGGGTTTAGGGATTTGGGGGTTTAGGGTATTTAGGGGGGTTCAACGATGTTCAACGTGAAGTAGTTTTAAGGGTTTAGGGTTTAGGAGTCAGGGTTAGGGGTTTAAGGGGGTTTTAGGGGCGTAGGATTCGGGTTTGAGGTTCTATGGGTTCTTGGCTTCATAGTAGGTTTTTGTGTTTTGACACGATCCGGAGGGGTTTCGATTCTGGCTTCAGAAAGGTTTGTCGAACGTTGTAGGAGGGGATTTGGTAAAGTTTTCGTTATGAGTAAAGGTTGCGGCTGGGCTTTAGGGTTCCACGTGCCTTTCCAGTAGTGGGTCGGGTTTAGCGTTTAGGGTCTAGGGTTTAAGGAATGGTGTGAACGTTTCGGGATGCGTTGTGATGTTATAGTTCTTCGTCATACTTCGGAGTCGCTTTCTGACATTTTTCAGGAAGTTGGGCTTTGGCTTTCCGTCTGTTCACTAAGCTTCTGCAGATTATAGCCCCGAAGCGCTACTCTCTGAATCCCCAAGCCTTAGACTGCTAAAGCCTGAAAGCCTTTAGAGAACAATCCTAGAAGCGCTAAACGCAGTTGCTTGGTTGAGGTTTAGGATTGAGGGCTTGAGTTCAGGATTTTCAAGGTTCACATGGCCTAAAGACAGTTTGTACTGTTGATGGACAAAATCCTGCATGACCCGAAGGACTCTAAACTATGGGAACTATGGTATGTTCCTTATAATGGGTAATGCAGGATTTATATCCCTAAACCCAAAACCCTATAGACCCTTCAAAGGGACCCCTTAAAGGTACCCTTATAGCTCCCTTCAAAGGAACCCTAGGATTGTTCAGTACCATGACAATCAACATCCTTGAGACCGGCTCCCAGTCTGGAAACGTGCAAACCCTAAACCCGCTCCTTATGCAGAGGTTTCCCCCGGGCCTAGCAGTTGAACGGGCCCTGCTAGGGCGACAGTACTGATGCTTCCTCTGGGGATCTCTGCGACCTGCACGTGCTTCTAAATGTTCCTTCGTGGTACATATACAAAGCTATTCATTGATAGGCAGCCTTGCGGAACACACACCAGGTTGCAGATTCGAGACTGCCCCTTGTGACAAAGCCAATTTCGGGTTGCCTCCCTTGTCCCTGCATGTGGGACTCACCTCTATGCTATCAAGGAATCCCTATTTATTTTCAATCGAGATTGCAGCAGTGGGGCTCCCTGGTCCAGGACATCGTGTATATAGAGCTACAGTGGGATGATGGAGAAGACCATGGACTCATAGATTTCACATGCAGCTTGCTTGCTTGCCTGCTTTGCACGGGGCCATGACGTTTTCGGAGCTCCGTGCCCCGCTTGCGTCTTAACCCCCTCGGGGGCGGAGACAACGCTGGTGCCCATCGCTTTGCCGGGGGATGTCCTCTCTCTTTCTCTCTCTCTCTCTCTCTCTCTCTCTCTCTCTCTCTCTCTCTCTCTCTCTCTCTTATGCAAGAGCCCTAAAACCGACTCCTTGCCAAAGCTCCTTGGTCCCTAAGTGTTTTTGTAAGATGACAACCAGGAGGTTTAGGGCAAAGTGTAGGGTTTAGGGCTTTAGGGTTTAGGATGTGATCCCGCATGGATATTGAAAACTCACAGCCCAGCTATGACTTGCCTTCGAAGTGTTCCGACACTTCTCTTTCCTCCCCACCAGTGAACTCAAACTCTGTTCTTTTCAACCGGACTTGGCCTAAAGCATCCTAGACCCTAAACCCTAGGCCTTAAACCCAAACCCTAAATTCGAAGCCCTAAACCTGGAACCCTGGGCCCCATAAAGATCTCTTATAGAACCTTGAAAAGAACCCGAATGAAACCTCTGTAGATCCCGTTTAAGCAGCCCTAAACGCCCGCCCTACACCCTACACCCTAAGCCCTGAACCCCTAAACCCTACATCCTAAACTGGTCCTAAACCCTAAGCCCTTAAGCCGGAAAGCCGTGGAGGAGTCCGCCTGGAGCATACCGATGGTCATCGGCCTGGTGCGCGCCGGCCGGTTCCCTCGTCATAGTTGTCTTAGCACTGTAGACTTTTATGGGTCGGTTTAGGGTTTGGGGTCCCAGGGCTTAGCATGTTACGTTATTATATATTCAGCCCTAAACCCTAAACCCTAAACCCAAGAAGGAACAGGCATTAAGGGTCCTTAAGGTAATGCAGGATTTATATCCCAAAACCCTAACCCCTATGGATCCCTTAAAAGAGCCCCTTAAAGGTACCCTGATAGATCCCTTTAAAGGAACCCTAGGATTGTTCATCAACCGTATCCCAACCATGGCTTAGGTTCGACATGGCCTACGCTGTGGTTCTGCTGCTGGTGAACTGTGCCCCTGGACTTTTCGTTGTGACCAGGGTTTCCTGGTTTATGGTTTAGCGGTCTACCAAAGGGGCCTAAATAATGACCAACATTAGATTTGGGGGTTCCTGATTATGATTCTATGATAATGGGACCTCAAACTCTCTTCTAATCATTACGGCGATTATACGCCCTGATAGTAGCCCTTATAGTATCCCTTATAGACCCCTTTACAGGAGCCCTATTCTAATCATTAAGGGCCCTACATTACGGTTAGGGCTGCTGGGTTCCTAATCCCCGAACCCTCGACCTCGAACCCGAGACCGTACGCCCAATGGTTTAGGGGTTTGGGTTGAGAGTTTAGGGTTTAGGGTTTAGGGGTTTAGGGTTTAGGGGTTAGGGTTTAGGGTTTAGGGTTTAGGGGTTTGGGTTGAGGGCTGCCAGGCATCCAAACTTTATCTGGGTTCTTGTTTACGGAGTTAGTTTAAGTTCCTAGAAAGAAGCCAAAGTTTTTACTATAGATCCTTTTTTCTGGTAGCCTAAGTTAAATTCCTCAACAAGAACCCTAAACACATCTAAACACCACACCCCTGATCCTTTTATGGTAACCTTAACAAGAACCCAGCTGATGGCGCAGCGGGTTTCGGACCTCCGGCTTCGGGATTTAAGGTTGCCGCAGCGTTTCGCAAGCTCCAAAGCCCTCCTGGAGTCTCGTTCCTAATAGTTCCTAAACCCCAAACCCTAAACCTTAAGCCCTCAACCCTAAACCCTAAACCCCAATTCCTAAACCTTAAGCCCTCAACCCTAAACCCTAAACCCCAAACCCTAAACCTTAAGCCCTCAACCTTAAACCCCAAACCCCAAACCCTGAACCTTAAGCCCTCAACCCTAAACCCCAAACCCCAAACCCTAAGCCCTAAACCCTAAACCCTGAACCCTAAACCCCAAACCCTAAGCCCTAAACCCTAAACCCTGAACCCCAAACCCTAAAGCCTGAAACGTATTCTGAGCCCCCTGCGGTTCGGGGTTTAGGTAGAGGTTAGAGGTTTAGGGTTTGGGGTTTAGGGTTCAGGGGTTCAGGGGTTTGGGGTTTAGGGGTTTGCTTCTGCAAGCGAATGCCCACCCCAAGATCACCCAACCAGTATTATACGGGTTAAGTTTTGTGTCAGATCAGTTGCTTAGGGCTCTTGGTGTTCGACATGGCTATAAATGGTCTCTGAACGAACGTGACCTGTGACCGATAGTTAACCATTACCTGGACGGTAGTTTTGACATTTGGATCGGGGCTTGGTCGCCGTCGCTTGCTGTCGCTTTTGCCAAAGATGAACTCCTAAACCCTGGTTCCCAAATCCTAAACCGTGGTTCTTGAATCCTAAACCTTGGTGGCTGCTAAATCCCAAACCCTGGTTCCTCAATCCTAACCCTGGTTCATAACCGTGGTTCCTCAATCCTAAACCCTTCTTCCGAAATCCTAAACCCTTGTTCATAACCGTGGTTCCTCAATCCTAAACCCTGCTTTCTAAATCCCTCACCGTGGCTCCGAAATCCTGATCTTGGTGATGATTTGGAAGTGATAAACTCTGCTTGCCAAAATGCGAGTTTAGATTGGTCTGGTGGCCGATGTCGAGTGGTGAATCCTAGCTCCTCGACGTGAATCCTAAGCCTTAAACCCTTAAGCCCAAATCCTCAATCCAGTTTGTGCAAAGACGGTAGGCCATGCTTTTAGGGTATTACAACATTATATATATATATACATATGTATATACATATATGTATATACATGTATATATATATATATATATATTTATGTGTGTGTATATGTATATATGTATATATGTATATATATATATATGTACATACACACATACACACCCACACCCATTTAATGTATAGATGTATTAATAGAAGGACTCTACGCCCGGTACGGCGCTAGAATCTAACTCTTCTGGCACTGAAGAGAGCATTTGCCTCCAGCTTCTAGACTGCCCTACTACTTAGACTGACGCTACTCAGCTGTCGGCTGGCGTCTAGAGTTGAGGGGCTTAGGGTTTAGGAGGTTAGGGTTTGTGGCTCAGGGTTTAGGGCCTTCAACCCAGGCCATGCAGGTCATGTTCGCGTTGATCCTCCTGGACGAGGGCTTTATGGGCGAGGACGGGTAGATGGTTGGGCAAGGTCTAATGTAGGGGCCTATTATACTACAATTAAAATAAGGCAGGGGCCCATTACACAAAAACTACAACAAGGAGCCCCAATACATTATTGGTAATTCTTTAGTCCCCATATTGTCTGTTCATAGTGAGGAGCCCCAAAATAGTATTGGTAATATGGTTGGGCTTGATTTCTCGGTCGAAGCCCTGAACTCTGAGCCCTCAGCATAAGCTTAACGGCCAAACCCTAAGCTCCTTGAACTTTCTGCTCCGGCGCACGTCCCTGAACCCTACTTGGAGGGGCAGGGCACTTAGTAAGTAGGTTATAAGTAGAGTTATAAGTACCCTAAATGGAATTACCCCAATTGTAACCCTACTTATAAACGACTTACTAAGTCCCCTGCCCCTCCAAGTAGACCCTTAACCTTGAACCCGGTTCGGACAACGAGACTTTGCCGCACATTCGTTAAGCTCGAAGCCAAAGCCCTGGACGTCCGGGATTCCCAAGCCGAGGTTCCCCAGCAGTACACTTCTTTTTTTTTTGTTGTGTTTGTTGTTTGGGGGAGGCTTTAGGGTTTCGGTTTAAGGTTCCCTTATTACAAACCGAAGAGTAGGACAAAGGGTGCCCCTGATTATTAAGCGGCCGCGGGGGAACCTCGAAGCTCCCATTTGTTTAGGGGCTTAGAGTTTAGGGTTTAGGGGTTTAGGGGTTTAGGGTTTAGGGGTTTAGGGTTTAGGGTTTAGGGGTTTAGGGTTTAGGGGTTTAGGGTTTAGGGTTTAGGGGTTTAGGGTTTAGGGCTGGAAAGTGGCATCGTTTGGTACAGGGCTATCTGCTTCGTTCGTCGCCCCTCCCCTAAACCCTCTCTAAACTGGCTGCGCCGAGGTTGAATCGTAAAAGCTTCTTAGAAGCAGTGAGTGTAGGTGGCGCTTGGCGGACTTGAAAAGGACGTTTGAAGCCCCCTAAGCGCAAAACCAGAAAGCTCTAAACTTTAAACCCCTAAGCACCGAAGCTCAAAGCCCTAGACTCCTCGACCTTTAAACCCTCAACCAAGAAGAGAGCTTCCTGGTCAAGGGTGTGACATTTGTTTTAGGGTTTCGGGGTTCAGGGATTAAAGTCGGCGGTTTCGGGTTTAGGCTGCTTTTTGACCGAAAAATCCCAACTTTTACGAGCAGGATTTCGAGACGCAAAAGCTCAACGCCCAGATATGGCGCACGAGTGTGGCACATGACTACAAGTGCCGCGGCAGAACGGTTTAGGTTTTTTTGGGTTTTGGGGTTTTAGGGTTTAGGGTTTCACGGTTTCGGGTTTAAGGTGCAAGAAGCTTTGCAAGAGACCCCGGTATCATATCCCGTGTTCAAAGCAGCACGTGAATGTCAACACCAAGAGGGTTTCGTTGCTACTGTTGATGGACAAGATCCTGCATTACCCCAAGGACCCTAAACTATGGGAATTATGGTATATTCCTTATAATGGGTAATGCAGGATTTTGTCCATCAGCCGTATGAACCCCTGACCACTAAGAAGCGTAGCTTGGAGTGAGACTTGGGAGCCTTTGAGTGCAGAGTTTAGGGACCCAGGAATATACCTGAAATCTTCATAGGAAGTCCCCCTATAGTTTACAGTGAACCCCAGAAAGTTGGAACGTCGATTTAGGATGATTCATGCTGGGCTTCCCTATACTTTACTCTAAGGGCATGAGGCTAATGACGTTCCAACTTTTTGGCTTCTACTGTATACTATTTTGGGGGTTCCCTAAGCCCTAAACCTAAACCCTAAACCCTAAACCCTAATATATTACTTAACTAAGGAGTCTTGGGCTTTCCGGGGAGGCTCAACCCTTAACCCCTAAACGTCTAAAAAACGCACCAAAACCTCAATCAACCCTGATAACCCTTTATTGCATCCCCTACCTTAAGCCGGAAGGACCTACCTTTTTAAGGACTTCTACTAATAGGGAACCCTAGAAAGGTAGGTTATTTTGGGTTAAGGTAAACCCTAACCTCGACGCCCCAAGCTCTATTCCGATCCCTTCGACTGATTGCCCAAGTTCAAAGGCCTGTTGCAACAACTGGCGGTCAAGACTCCCTAAACCCTAAACCGTATAGATCCCTTTAAGAATCCCTTACAGGAACCCCTAGGTCCCCAGGGTATCCCTTAAAGGAGGTATTTCAGCTGAAATCCCTGAGGCTCCAGACCCCACCTTAACTTTGAATAGCCTTCCTGTGACCAGTGTTCCCCAAAATGATTTCTTTAGGGTTTAGGGTTTAGGGTTTACGGTTTACCTAGGGTTCCTTAAAGGGATCTATAAGGGATCTATAGGGTTTAGGGTTTAGGGGACTCCAATATCCCTTAATTAAGGAATATTCCTTAAATCATAGTAAGGATCCTGGTATAATGTAAGGTATATTCCTTAATTAAGGGGTATTGGAGTCTCTGGGTTAGATAAGTCCTTAAAAAAGGAAGGTTATTTGAGGTTACGGTAATCTAAACCCAAAGCCTAAACCCTTCCTATGTTCAAGGTGTTTTGGGCTTGCTTGCCCTTTGCGTAGCCTGTTGCATTTTTTGGGCGCGGAGTTTTTTAGACTTAGGGTTGAGGATTAAGGGTAGACTTAGGGTTGAGGGTTTAGACTTAGGGTTGAGGGTTTAGACTTAGGGTTGAGGGTTTAGACTTAGGGTTGAGGGTTGAGGGTAGGGTTGAGGGTTTACAGGTACATGGATCTGGCACAGACCAGCCTCGTGACGCGGGTCTGCAGCGGCGATGGCGCTCTCATCCTGTCAACGGTCCAGGCTCAACGACGCCTCGAGAAAACACGGAAGCAGACTCTAAAATTGAAATTTTATCCTACACCCTATACCATAAGCCTGGAACCCTAAAACCTAGACCCTCTAATGACGGACATGTTGATCAACAGGCTGCGGCTTCAAAGTGAAACCCAGCAGACCCAACGACACCCAAACTTCGAGCCTACCCCCCCAGAGACTCCAAAATCTCTTAATTAAGAAATCTTCCTTAAATCATATTAAGGATCCTACTATAGTTTAAGGTATATTCCTTAATTCAGGGGTATTGGAGTCTCTGGGTACACTCCCAACCCCAAGAATCCTGAAAAGCTCTTACCCCAAAAGCTCTAACCCCCCCCCCTTGCCCTAGATTTTTAAACCCTAAACCCTAAACCCTAAACCCTAGATTTTTAAACCCTAAACCCTAAACCCTAAGCCCTAGATTTTTAAACCCTAAACCCTAAACCCTAAGCCCTAGATTTTTAAACCCTAAACCCTAAACCCCTAGCTTCAAAGCCCGGAGGCAACTCTTGTGGAGCAGATCAACAACTACCTGGCACTGGAAACGGATGCTCGGCTTCGTTTTTCTGCTTGCGATCTCGAGATTGGGTTTCCATTTAGGGTTTAGGGTTTAGGGTTTAGGGTTTAGGGTTTAGGGGTTTTGGGGTTTAGGGTTTAGGGTTTAGGGTTACTATAAGGGTACTATAATATAGGGGCCTAATAATTAGAATAGGCTTCTTTTAAAGGGGGGACGTCTTTCTGGGGGTTGTGAAGAAGTGGTAGGGGTTTGGGATCTAGGTTTTGGGGTTTATAGTAGAAGCCAGAAAGTTGGAACATGGATTTAGGAGGATCAGTGCTAGGATTCCCTATACTTTGCTTTAAGGGCATGAGGATAGTGATGTTCCAACTTTCTGGCTTCTACTGTAGAGTTATCAGACCGGGGGCCTCGATGAACCCTTAAGCCTGAAGTTCAGGATTGTAGGGTTTAGGGTGACAGGGCCTAGGGTTATGGGTACCTTATGTTGGGGTCCTTATAATAAGGATCGTACTGTTTAGGGTATTACATTTAGGGTGTCAGGGTTTAGGGTTTAGGGGTTATATGGTTATAAGGTTCAGGGTTTTGGGTTATATGGTTCAGGGTGTAGGGCTTGGGGTTTGGGGTTTCAGGGTTTGGGGTCTATAGACCCTTAAACCCTAAACCCAATGTAGGGGCGCTCGTGAATAGGGCTTTGGCGTCATTACAGCAGTGAAGTCACAAGGTGACCATAAAGGGATAATATCCAGAACCCTAAACCTTAAATCCTAAAACTAAACCCTAAACCTTAAACTTCAAATCCTAAAACTAAACCCTAAACCCTAAACCGAACCCAAACCCTCCTTCTTTCTTTGCCGGCCGAACTTTGAAGAGCCGATGCCACTGCTTCAGCTTGCGCCTAGGGTTTCAGGGATTTCTGGCTTTAGGGTTTCAGAGCTTTAGGGCTTTGGGGGTTTTGGGTTTGGGGTTTAGGGTTTAAGCTTTAGAGTTTCAGGGATTTGGGGGTTTGGGGGTTCTGGATTTAGGGGTTTAGGGTTTAGGCTTTAGGGTTTCGGCGCTTTAGGGCTTTGGGGGTTCTGGATTTAAGGGTTTACGGGTTTGGGGGTTCAGGATTTAGGGGTTTAGGGGTTTGAGGGTGCAGAATTTAGGGGTTTAGGGTTTAGGCTTCAGGGTTTCAGGGCTTTGGGGTTTTTAGGGTTTCAGAGTTCAGGGTTGATGTCTCGGTTGTGTGTTGAGGCTTGGTGGAAGATTCCGCCAACGCCACAGGCCAAGAGCCGCAAACTAAAGGAAACACTAAAACCTAAATTCCAAACACCAAGCCCCTAGACCCTAAACTTAAGCCCTAAACCCAAAGGCCTAAATCTTCTAGATCCCAGACCCTAAACCCCCGACCCTGAATCCTAAACCCTCAGAGACCCTACCTGCAACCCTAGAGACCCAGGGGACTTAATGAGTCAGTTATAAGTAGGGCAAAAAACTGGGGTAACTCCATTTTGGGGACTTATAACTCTACTTGTAACCTACTTACTAAGTCCCCTGGGCTTCTCAGTAGACCCTAAACCCTAAACCCTATAGATCCCTTGAAGGAACCCTATAGATCCCCTTTAAGGAGCCCTTTAAAGTTACCCTAGAGACCCAGGATCAGTTCGGGCAAGATGAGTTTGGCCCTGGCATCCTCCTCTGCATGCTTTGCATCCTCCTCTGGAGCCTCTGTGTCTTCAAGGTGCCCCGCGGTTTAGGGTTTAGGGTCTTTCGGGTTTGGGGTTTAGGGTTTTGGGTTGTGGGTTTTGGTTTGGGGTTTTGGGATTTGGTTTAGGGTTTAGTGAGTTCGGGGATCGTTTAAGGGTCGTTTGGTGTTTAGAAGGGATTCCTATGAGAGTTCTATGAGTGTATAAGAAGGGTTCCATAAGAATTTCAGACAGGGTTTGAGGGTTTGCGTCGTGTTCGTTTCAATAAGGCTTCGACGGGTGTTTACAAGGGTTTTGCAAGGGCATCGTAGGGGCTCATGAGTTCGTGCCTTTGGTTTTAAAGGGGTTTTGGGAAGCCTTCGTCCTTGTAATGTTCTATAATGGCTTCATAGGGGGGCTATAGGGTGTAAAGGAATTTAACTAAAGTGACACTAAATAGGGTGATGCATGTGAACGGTATCCACTCCGTGTCATGCTGGAGAACAGACATGATCCTTGAACCTTCAAGCAGGCTTGAAGCTAAGGTTGCAGGTTTATACGAAATCAGCCTGCTTCGTCCATGGCGGGGATACTGCAAGGAGCTATCTATGAGAAGTAGTTGAGCGTCTGATCTTTGAATTTGTAGCGTCAATCCAAGCCCCAAAACCCTAAACCCCAAGCCCCTAGACTCCCAGCCGTGGTACCTCGACTTCTAAACCCTAAACCCTAAACCCTAAACCCTAAGCGCAACAAACGGGACAACATCTTTGCTCCCACCAAACGTTTCTGTTCAGTGGACACGCCTGAGCCCTAAGCCCTCGTCACTCAACGCTAACGTATACTTCAGAAAACCTACCTTTTTTGAATGACTTAGTATACTCTATAAGGAAAATCGCAGTAAGAAACCCTTATTATATTCTATAAGGAAATCTTGACTGACTTAATATATTCTATATGGGAGTTTCCGAAAATAGGGGACCCTAATGTAGCACACCAAATAGTAGGATTCTTTTTATAAGGACCCCCAAATAAGGTACCCCCTAATTTTCGGAAACCCCCATATGGAAATCATAATAAGAAGCCGTACAACGGTCGGTCTCCGGTCCTGATCCCTTGAGGAGTTCCGGCATATTTGGCTCGCCGTGGCCGGTGCGATGAACCTGCCCAAGTCACGAAACACCATCTTTACCGAAGGCGCGTAGGGATCTAAGGACTCATATGAAGAGGTTCCTTTAAAGGGATCCTTTAAGGGGCTTAGGGATCTAAGGACTCATATAAAAAGGTTCCTTTAAAGGGATCCTTTAAAGGGTTCCTATAAGGGATCTATAGGGGGCCTCGGGTTTAAGCGTGGTTGAGGGTTTGGTGGGGTTTTAGGGTTTAGGGTTTCCGAAGGCCTCTCGTTCGGAGTTCTGTGTTCGCAGATATTGCTTGCTGTTATTGTTGTGAGGTTGAATATTCGTCTACAACGTAGTGAAAGTGACTAGTGTTCTGCTATGCTGTATATTGCTGTTAAGCCTTCTCATTCTTTTTCTCGAACGCCAAAATCTAGACCGTCAGCCGCAACCAGAAGCCCCTAACCCCGAACCTTGTTAAGTCTTGGTCTTGTTGTTCGAAGGGGGGTTGCTTTCAGGGGCCTTCAAGTTAACCTTAAACCCTAAACCCTAAACCCCAAATCCCTAAATCCCTGAAACCCTAAACCCTAAACCTTAAAACCCTAAACCCTAAACCCTAAACCCCAAAGCCCTAAAACCCTCAAACCCTAAACCCTATTTAAAGTGCTTGAAAGTAGCAGCCTTCAGCCTGCCTGCTCGTCCCAAGAGCCCTGAAGCTGCAGGAAGTTTATTTATTAGTATAGGGGCCTCAATAATTACCTATACTATTTTGGGGGTTCCTTATGATAATTCTAGTATATAATGAGCCCCGAAACTCTATTCTAAGTATTAAGGCCCCTGTATTAAGTTATCGTCAGTTGGGGCTCATAGATTCCGTAAGGGTTTAGGGTTCAGGAACTTGATTTAAATTATCATGGTAGGGTACTGTAGTAAATAATATGAGCTCGAACAGTAACCCAGACGGCCCACAGCTGAAGGAACCTTCCAGCAAATCTCCTGGGGTCGCTTCGGCATCTTCCTGGCAACGAGCATTGTGCGCGTTGCCGTGGCGAGCGTTCTCCTGGTTGCCGGCATACTGTGGTTGGCTCGGACAACCTCGACTCTCGAATTGCCAGCTTCATTTCAACCCCGAGTTCCTACAACCTAAAAGCAAACCCTTGAACGCCCGCATTTCCAACACCATAGTACACAGCCTTGCGGGCAACCCCGGAATGTGAGCGATGCTGATTCTAGATGCCTAAGCTCTAAATTCTAAGCCCTAAGCCTTAGCCTTTGAACCTTAACCCTAAACTCTAAACTCTTAAGCCCTACGCTCGAAGCCCAAAGCCCTGAACTCTGAACCCCAACCCCTACACTCTAAACTCTAAATCGTAAGCTCCAAACCCTCAACCCCACGCCCTAAGCCCTAAACCCTAAACCCTAAACACTAAACCCTAAACCCTAAACACTAACCACTAAACCCTAAACCCTAAGCCCTAAATTGCAATCAGAAACTTCATGCCCTGAAGGCTTGAGCTTCGACTAGAAGCAAAGCCTGAATTCGTTGACACTGAAGCGGGAGTCTGAAACCGTAAAACCTTGGAGCTTAAACAGGTTTAGGGTTTAATTAGGGCTTAGGGTTTAGGGTTTGGGGTTCAGGGTTTAGGGTTTAGGGTTTGGGGTTCAGGGTTTAGGGTATAGGGTTTAGGGTTTAGGGTTTAGGGTTTAGGGTTCAGGATTACAGCTCTCAGCAGGCCAGAGCTCAAGGTAGCTGTGCCTGGAGAGGGGCCGAGTGCAAAGGCCCATCGTGACGATGGGGGTCTAGGGTTCCGGATTTAAAGTTTAGGGTTAGGGTTTAGGGTTTAGGGTTCAGGGTTTAGGGTTTAGGGTTTAGGCTTTAGACTTTGGGAGTCTCCGAAAATTTCGGGGTACCTCATTTTGCGGTCCTTATAATAAGGATCCTACTATTCAAGGTACTATGTTAGGGTCCCCACTTTTCGGAAACTCCCATTTAGGGCTGCAAAACCTGCAGTTTTCAAGATTTATGTAAACTGGAAGCATGGACCCTAAACCCTAAACCCTAAACCCTGGTTGGTTATGTGGGCTTCAGGGAGACCCTGGCACCCTCAAGAAGTCGCAACATCAATCCTAAAGCGCTAGCTCCCCTATTCACTCGTTTAGGGTTTAGGATTTAGGCTTCGGGTTCAGGATTAAGGGTTTAGGGTTCAGGGTTTGGGGTTGATGGTTTAGGGTTTCGGGCTTAGGGTTTGGTCTTTAATCCCAATATTCAGGATTGTTCCTTGAATTGTTGTAGGGGTCCTGAATAAGCTACCCTTGCACAAAGAGCATCAGCGCCCGGGTTGTAGTGGTTGGTGTTGGAAACTGTATTTTATATTCGGTGCTACTTTCAACATGCCTGCCACACCCTGAACCCGAAACCCTAAACCTTAAACCCCTAACCCTAAACCCTAAGCTCTAAACCCTAGACCCTAAACCCTTCTTGAAGAAGCTTCCCGAATCCCAGGATTTCCTATTTCAGTCTGTATATATATATATATATACCCTAAACCCTAAACCGGCCCAGGATCTCCGAGCTGATGCTGAACGCGGTGGCGCTCAATGCCATCCTCGACGTGGACGAGTTTCTTTTCAATGGCCTCACGCCCATGAAGTTCCAGCATGCGTCCTGGCTTCCTTTAAAGGGTTCTATAGTAGCCCTATGGCTTCCTTTAAAGTTCTATAGTCGCCCTATGCCTTCCTTTAAATTAAAGGGTTCTACAAGGGCTACTACTTATGAGGGCTAGTATAAGGATTTAGTATGGGGGCTTAAACAAGTAACAATACTATTTGTTGATGGTTCCTTGTTATCATTGCGGTATAATGGGCCCCAAAACCCTATTCTAATTATTAAGGCTCCTACATTACCCGTTTAGGGGACTTGATCTATAAGCATCCTTGATTTTCGGTCCTTAGTAGTAGGATCCTTATAACCAGCCTTATTAACGGAACGGGAAGTTCCATCATGCATTGCTGCATCATAGTTATCGGTTTAAAGGTTTGCGCGGTATACAAAGGGAAGCGATCATTTTTCATGTTAATCGCCGAGCGCATACCCAGGCAATCCAGAGCCTGACGCCCATGACCGTCAAGTATAGCCGTCGCCGCAGCGAGTGGGAGTCCAGTGTCCAGTGCATCACCCTGGTCTTAACCATCATTGTGCCTTACATGCTTCTGGTGCAACCAGGCTGCTATAGAGACTCATTTTTGCACAGTCTTAGTATACCTTTCAGGAAGATCACCCGTTATATTTTCTAAAAAAGGTCCGAGAACTCTAAACCCTGGGACCTAAACCCTAAGCCCTAAACCCTGATCCCCACAGTAGAAGCCAGAAAGTTGGAATATCATTATCGTAACCCCTTTAAGGTAAATTATAGGGTATCCTACCCTGAAACCATATTCCAACTTTCTGGAGTTCCCTTAACCCTAAACCCTAAACCCTAAACCCTGTAAACCCGAAGCCTTAACCCCAAGAGCAGCCTAGGAAGCCCTTCGGCCAGACGATGGTGGAGGTGAAGGAGCTTCCAGGATGCCCAGTAGTACCCTTATTCCTTTTTTAGAGGGATCTATAAGGGTTCCTTAAAGGGATCTATAAGGGTTCTATAAAGGGTTTTAGGGTTTCCGAAAATTAGGGACTAGGATGCCCAGTAGTACCCTTATTCCCTTTTTGTAGTCCTAGGTTCCTTATAAAGTTACCCAATACCAAAAAGAGAGGCCTTTTTATTCTTAGGTTACTGGGTATCCTAGGCTTCTGTGTGGTGGCAATCAGAGCTTTGTCCTTGTGCACAACGCAGAGACTTGGTAGCACTCGGTTTAGGATTTAGGGTTTACGTCGGAGAAGTTTGAGCGAGCAGGGAGGTACATCAAATACATTAAAAACTTCCTGGTGCAACGAACCACCCAAGAAAGAACCCGCTGGTCTCGGCATTCTCTGTATTTAGGAGCCCACAGTGCCCAGCACTTGCGAAACCTCAAACCCCAAACCTTGAACCCCGAACGATGGAAACCCCTAAACCCTAAACTCCAAACTCTAAACCCCCAAGCCCTACTTCTGGTCCAATAACATTGTCACCCGCCGAACCCCCTTTGCTTCTTAAGCAGGGAATACTGTATTTAACTTCGGGGTCTTGTCTTCATCGGAGGGTATTGGGGTCCCATAAACCTTTTCCATAACCCCAAAACCCCAAAACATCAGCCCTAAATCCCAGAAGACGCCAAAAGACCTAAACCCTAAACCTGGCTTGATGAGCAATTCGAAGCTCTAGGACTGGGTAGTTGATTTAAATCCTGCCCCTTACCAGAAACCTGCGCATAGCCGCCAAGGATACTTTAAACCCCCAAACTTATGCCCCAACACCCCAACCCCACAAACCCTGCTTATCAAATCCACCCAAACTCTAGAAGCCTCATAGAACCTACTTACACCGTAGACGCCTTGCAAAAGCCCGACTTAAACTTTAAAAGCCGAGGATACGCAGATGACGAACGGCTTGATCACCCGACAAGGTCGAGGCACCGGACACCAAAGTGAGAGCGAAACTAAAAGGGCCTCCTATCGTCTCCTTCATAAAAATTTCCCTAAGCCCTAAACCCCTAAACCCTAAACCCCTTTTTGTTCATGTTCACATAAAGCTCAAGAGAATATTAAAGATAATCTTTTCATTATGCTTCTAAGGGGTTATAGCCCATCAGGCTAGCATAAGGGCTCAAAGGGTGGGTGCTACATGGGGTTCCGTCCAAGGCTTCGTACAAGGGTACCTATCAGGGAGATTTCCTTCAAGCTTCTTTTTTTGTTCCTTTAAGGGCTCTGCAGGGGTTCCTTTAAGGCTTTCTTTTTTGTTCCTTTAACCCTACTATAGATCCCTTATTATAGACCCCTTTAAGGAACCCTTTTAAAGGAACCCTGTTCTAGTTATTAAGGCCGCTACAAGGGTTCCTTAAGGGCTCTGTAGGGGTTCCTTGAAGGCTTCCCTTAAGGCATCTATAGGGGATCCTTTAAGGCTTTCTTTAAGGGTTCCTTTTGGGGATTTTGTGTTCCTTTAACAGCACTGGGTTTAGGTCTTGGAGGGTTTATCACGCCTATGGAGTTTATAGGATTCGAAGGGTTCAGGGTTAATGGGTTTTGGGTTTAGGGCTTCAGGTTTTTGAACAATTTTGGAACTTGATCCAATAGGCGGGTGTGTATATGGTAAAGCAGAGTTCCTGCCGATGGACTTCATCAAGTTGAAGGCACGGTCTTGATGCGGGGTTTATGAAGTCCGTTAAGCAAAGACATTCTTGGTAATATAGGAGCCTAAATAAATGTCAACCTAGTTATACTCATCTAGGTGGCAATTTGGGAAACTTTTTAATTTCCCTTATGGTTCCTATAGAGGTACCTATTCATAAATACTTTTCAGAGCCCCAAAACTACAACCCAGTCATACTAGAAAAGAGCTCAGAGACCCGTCTCCAATGGAAGGATGGCCCTAGACCGCAGCCCCAGCAGCCCAGACCCCCGGGAGGATCCAAAAAGTAGATCCCTCAAGGGGGGTTCCTATAAAGTACCCTTAGTAGTATAGGGCCCCAAATTAGGGGATCTACTTTCTAGATCCTCCCGGGGGTCTGGGAGGGTACTTTCAAGGCCATTCCTTCACCCAAACAAACTCTGAACATTAAACCCCAACCCCCAGCCTGTAACCCGAAACCCTAGACCTGAAAAGCCGAATCTTACACTCCAACCCCGAAGATTTGAACCGGTACCTGTAAGCCTTCCGAACTCGTCAGTCAAGTGGGAGTTTATGAAGTCCGGAACCCCAAACCCTAAACCCCTATACGAGAGACCCCAAGCCCTCTAAGTTTGTGAAAGATGATGTGTATTTCCCTTCATGTGCGCGAGTCCACCAATGTACTGCGATTCCTAGCACATGCTTAGAGGCCCAGGGGACGTAGTAAGTAGGTTATAGCTGGAGTTATAAGTGCCCTGAATGGAGCTACCCCAATTACAACCCTACTTATAACCCACTTACTAAGTTTCCTGGGCCTGTAAGTGGGCTCGCACAAAGCCCGCACACAGCTCCGGACCTGAAGCCTATGTGGGTAGTTCTCTAAATTAGGGTCCCTTTTTAGGTCCCCAAAGTAGTACGGCACCCTTGTAGAAGGACTTAAAAAATCCCAATTTAGGGAACTACCCATATAATTTCTGTTAGTTTCCGCCCGCGGCCTGAGATCCCTGGGTTAGGGTGGCTGGAATGGTTCGGGTTCAGGGTGCGAGGGGTTCAGGGTTCAGGGGCGACGGGCTTTTGGGATCCGGTTTAGGAGTTTAGGGTTTAGGGTTTAAGGGTTCAGGGTTCAGGAGTTTAGGGTGTTGGGTTTGGGGCTTACGGCTAACATTGGTCTGAGGTTTGAGGAACCTCAACCCTAGCAGGTAATCTGGGGAACCTCTCCGTCAGTGAGATCGCCGTCAATGCGCACACGTCGCTTCGGTCGTTATTGAAGACCACCATGCGCTTGTATACCCTAAACCTAAACCCTAAACCCTAAACCCTCAACCCTAAACCCTAAACCCTAAACCCTAAACCCTAAACCATGCGCTTGTATTTGGCTTGAGGTTTGGTGAGCTTTTGATTTTGGCCCTAAGCTTCAAACTCCAAGATCCCAAACCCTAAACTCTAAGGGCCCTGCGGCCTTGTTGTAGATACCCGATTTGAAGACCCTTCTTCAGCAATTGTGGTTGAAAGGCCTTCGAGATGGGTGACTTATTCATCAGGGGTCTACATTGTACCAGTGGCCAAGAAAGACCACATGTACATGCTAAACCCTAAACTTGGCCCCAAACCCTGAAGAAAGCTCAAGAGAAGGGCCTTTTGTCTGCATGACGGAAACCGGGGACTTAGTAAGTAGGTTATACGTAGAGCTATAAGTGGCCACTCCAAGTAAACCTTCAACCCTAAACCCCATAGATCCCTTTAAGGAGCCCTATAGATTCCTTTAAGGAGCCCTTTAAGAGCCCTTACTAAGTCCCCTGCCCCTCCAAGTAGGCTTTCTGAGGGCTAATGTAGACCCCCAGCCCGGTCCGGTCCGGGACTCGAAACCCCAAACGCTAAAATTTTAACGCCCTAAACCCTAAACCCTAAACCTTAAACCCTAAACCCTAAACCCTAAACCTTAAACCTTAAACCCTAAACCTTAAACCTTAAACCCTAAACCCTAAATCTTAACCCCTAAACCTTAAATCTTAAACCTTAAACCTTAAACCCTAAACCCTAAACCTTAAACCCTAAACCCATAAGGCAAGCCCAGCAATGCCAGGTTTCGCGACGCAGACCTCGATCCTCTCTACATCAGCTTCACTACCCTGGAGCTAGCAGATCAGCATCTTCTCGGCAAAGCTTCTTAAAAGGGGTCTCCACGAGGCTAAGGTTACTATGATAGTAACTGGCAGGTTTTGAAACAAGGTAATGTCGGAACCAGCTTAAGAAACTCTGGGCCTACAGCCCCCAAAATAATAGGATTCATATAAGGAGCCCTAATAAAGGCCCAAGGTTTCTCAATCAGGTTCCTACATTTTCCCAAAGTGCCAATTATGAGTATTTCCTGCAATTTGGCAAGTCATCAAGTTGACTGAAACGCTCAATGAGTCAGTGCCTAGGAGAAAGGTAGGTTCAGGGTTGAAGGTTCTAGGTTTTTAGGGCAAGCAAGATAACACGAAACCAGGTGCGACATATCACCTACTTAAAGCCCCTTTGTCGTTTCAGGGTTTCCGGGCTATTATGCACTTGTTTCGCTCTGCCAAGATCGGGAGTTGATATGTCGCTGAAAGCACCGTGCTTGCAGACTGTGTTCAGGATTTGTGTAGGATTAGCGCAGGAGTGTTTCGGTTCTGCTTGGAGGGCCAGGGAACTTGCTAAGTCGGTCATAAGCGGGTTATAATCGGGGTAACTCAATTTAGGGGACGTATAACTCTACTTACTAAGTCCCCTGGGCCTCTAAGCGGGGCTCCTGGTAGGGTCTTCGGTCGACCCCCAACCTTAAATCCCGTCCAGTGTCTAGTGCAGCGAGTGCACTGGACCCTTCCGACCCTAAAGCCTAAACCCTCAACCCTAAACTCAGAAAAGAGAACCCTAAACCTTTATAGAAGGAGGGGGAGGGGGGTCTTAATGCTTACAGGGCCCGGGGCTAAGCATAGGGTTCAGGGTTTGCGGTTTGGGGTTTGGGTTTAGGTTTTATGGGTTGAAGGGTTTAGGGTTTACGGTTCGGGGTTCAGGGTTTATAGCGACACAGTCAGGGCATCCCCGATTAGGGTACTATAAGAGTCCCTAAACCCCCTGTCCAAGCTGCTGCAGTCTGCGACTCGGATACGAACCTTGAGTGTGTGCAACTCTTCCTCGGTTTCCGCCGAGTCGTTCAGGTCATGACGACTTTACCTCCCATGATCATCTCGACCGCCACCCAGCAGCCGACTGCCGGCCCACAAAACGCGGCGCCGCTGCAGCTGCCGCCCATCGTTGCAGAATCTCGACACGGCGTTTGGTGTCGGAGGGACCGGCTTGAGTCGTGCCAGCGCTTCAAGACCCGATGCCAAGGATCAGGGCGGCACTCTGTGGCTCGCAGCGGTGGCTCCTTGGATCGTTCAACGCTGTTTCCTCCATCGGTTAGGTTGTTGCATGCTGACGTCGTCGTCTAAACGTGTGCCTCGGGGATTTCTTGCTTTCCGAGGATCCGCCTGCTGCGGCGCCCAACGTCATCTTCACGTCGTGTCTCGCAGAAATAGTCGTGCGACCTTCCGTTTTGCGTGTTCCTGCCGCGAATCCAAGGGGAATCACGCAGTGGCGAACCACACTGGGCGGTGGTTGAACCTCGGCCACTACTGGAGTCTGCGTCTCAGGAAGTTGGTTTTTGCGAGCCCAACCTCAGCAGGCTGATATGATCGTATCCTGACAAAGTGTTCAGGCACCTGCGGCCGAGCTTACCATCTTCCTGCATCAGCAGCTCTGACTTTGAATATTTCATGTCAAGCTATTTCTAGTCAGGCTATCTTCTAGAAGAAACCCCACCCGCCCAGAGAATCCCATTACATTAGATTTGAGAGTCTTTTTCTTTTGGCTTGAATCTTTAAAAAAATTACTTACATACAACTATTACAGATCGTAAACTTTCACACTTTCGACCAAGCAGGTGCTGTTTCTTTACAGTCGTTTTCTCACAACACGCTTCACTTCAAGAAATTATTTCTGCCGACCAGCTTTCTAAGAGAGCTAGTTAAGAAACACAACATCGCCCTAACCCGCCGAAGCTGCGGTCACGCCATCGCTTTACGATAGCAACCATAGCTGTCAAATGTCATGACTTGAATCTCCTCAACTGTCGATCCACAACAAAGAGCTTCGACGAGGCTAGCCGTGCTAGCCGTACAAGCTACATGTTTTGACCCCTGGAAAACCCAGCTCTAGAAGACAAATGTTCTGAGAGTCGACGAAGCCGTACAAGCTAGATGTTTTGACCCCTGGAGGGGCCCAGCTCTAGAAGACAGATGCTCTGAGAGTTGACGAAGCTAGCCGTGCAAGCTAGATGTTTTGACCCCTGGAGGGGCCCAGCTTTAGAAGACAGATGTTATAAGCTTTGAAGAAGCTAGCCGTGCAAGCTAGATGTTTTGACCCTTGGAGGGGCCCAGCAGTGCAAGACAGATGTTTTGAGCTTGGAGGAGCTAGCTAGCCCTACAAGCCGAAGATGCTTTGGCTCCTGGAGAGCGCAGACAGATGGTTTGAGCTTCGCTACATGTTTTGACCCCTGGAGGGGCCCGCACTAACGAAGCCGAGGAGGCAGACTATCTCATAAAGCTGGTTTTGGCGAGCCCAACCTAAGCCGGCCGATATGATCGTGTCCCGACAATTAAAAGTGTTGAGGCATCTGCGGCCGAGCTTCTGGACAGACGAACATCCCGAGATGCATAAAAGTGTTGCGTATCGTTGGCATGGCAACATCGCTGCTTCTGCATGCTCTGCAGCTTTCGGGGAAACACGAGATACATTAGGTGCGGCGAGCTGGACTTCAAGACTCAGTGTAGCCTTCCCCTCCGCTCCGTCGGCTCGGCCTAGCGCTTGAAGTGTGCGACTCAGACTCGCGACTCCGACCTTGCAGTTCAGCTCGTATCCTTGTCGGTTCAGGCGGCATCATGTCCTACGTGGAGCTCGTCGGCGTCCAAGTACGCGCAGCCTACACCTTCCGTACGCCTCTCATTCCCAGGTCGTTGCCGATGCGTGCTCCATGGCCAACGCGAAGGAACCGGCCCGAGAGATCGTCGCCCAGGCCCGGGGCTCGGTGAAGAGACGGTCTTTCGGAAAAGCAACAAAAGTCCGTCCGGTGACGAGCCATAGCAGTGTCTAGATTTCCATGCGTGCCCAGTTGCAGCAGCGCCGCGGCGCACTCGCACATTGTCCAGCAGTGAAGGCCGAGCACACGTCGCGTCCGTCGCGCATGCGAGCCTGCGAAACACTGGACGACAGCCACTGACGACGATGCCGCAGGAATTCCTCCGGATGCTGCGGGGCGACGATCTCTGTTCCCGCACGGAGCAAATCCAGGCCCGCTACGAAGCCGAGATGGCACTGGGTGCGGGCCCGATACTCCTCACGTGCACTTAAGCGATTGCATACATCCCAACCTGCAGGTCTACTGTGGCGAGGTGCCCGAAGTCTCCGCGACTGCTGCAGGGCCAAAGGCGGGACTTGCATCACGCTCCCGCGGACTAGCAAAGCTGCCCGTTTTGCGTAGGTGCTGTTGACACCACAGTGTGCGAACACATCGCACAGAATCCTCCGGCCGGCCACCCATCAAGATCGCTTCAAGTCGTCCGTAGCATCCGTAAATTAAAGCCGCTCACGAATTGGTCCCATCCATAGAATCTCTGGCCGAGGCATCTCCATGGTTGTCTTACTCTTCGGACTGCCTGGTGGCCCTGTGGTTTGCCCTGGGCAAGGCCGGTGAGTACGCTTGCACCTCGCCTTGCCGGGCTACCTGTTATGCGAGGCGAAAGTTGGTGAGATGCGGACCCTGACCGCGATCGATCCCACGGAGGTCGCAAGCTTCACCCTCCAAAAGGTGCGGTTCGCTTGCTTCGATCCGATCAGACCCGAGTGGACCATCACAGGACGCCAACTTGAGCAACACGGGGAGCCGGAGAGACCCACCCGGCTGGCAGCTGCGGAAGGCCTCGCCTCCTCGTTTTGAGCGATATCCGAGGGAGTAACCGCACTAACGAAGCCGAGCGACAGACTAGAGTAGACGCAACCTTCAGAGACCGAGACCTAAAACCGGGAAGACAGTCCGCCCTACCTCACGAGGCTCGCGGCTATACGACCTGGGCCAAAGAGCGCCTGGTCGTAGCCGTTCCCTTGAACAACGTGGTGACTCGCGCGGTGCGACCCTTAGCCGTCGAGGACCTCCTGCATCTGCTCTCGTTGCCACCGCCCGCAGGAGTTCACCGTGACCAAGGACGACGTCGACTGGCATCTGGCCATGAGACGCAGTCGCTTGGAGCCCACCGCGCCGATCTGCTGGTTCTGTGCTCAGAAGCCAGCAGCCGAGACGGAGCGGTTGGACGGACAGCAACTCCACGAGGCCTGGGCCGCTGCCGCTGAGAGGAGCTTCAACCGGCAGTGAGCCGGCGTGGCAAAGGGCTTATCTGCTGTCCTCTGCTTGTGTCTCGGCTATTGTCGCTTCAAGCGAAATGCGGACTGTTGCTTCTCGGTCCAAGGTGCACTAGGGTTTTGCTTACAATGATTGCTGGTGATCGCCGTTTGCTTCCACTTCTTCACTGTAGTTTCGGGCCACGTTGCCCAACACAAGAGGCCAACATCCTAAACCGTAAGCTTTCTAAATCCTTATCCCTAAACCGTTAAACCCGAGTCTCAAACTTCAACCCTGGGTTAGCCAAAATCCTTGAGCCCTAGCTCGTGTTCAACCCTAGATCCTCAACGCCATATCCTAAACTCCTAAACTCCTTAACCCCAAGCCCCGTATCCCAAACTCCGAAACCCTAAACCTTTCACCCTACATCCTAAACCCTCAAGCCCTCAACCCTAAACCCTATGAGCCCTCAACCCCAATTCCATGTTGAACTCAAAGTGGAACCTATCGGTATATAGTTACTTAGCAACTTTTACAGGGACCCTGAACCCTAAACCTTAAAGGACCCTATGTGGGAGTTTCCGAAAATAGGGGACCCTAATATTGTATCCGAAATAGTAGGATCCTTACAATAAGGACCCCAAAATAAGGTACCCCAATTTTCGGAAACGCCTACATACCTAAACCCTAAACCCTAAACCCTAAAGGTGGAACCCCAGAGCTTTCCCAGCGATGAGGTTCGATTCACAGGTCACGCAGGACATGGCAACCTTTGCTGCGAGCTTCCCGGTTTGCCCCTGGGCTGTCTCTCTAGTTTGGGTACTATAAGGGCCTAAATAATTACCGATACTATTTTTGGGGGTTCCTTAGAATAATTACAGTATAGTGGGCACCAAAACCCTATCTTGATTTTTAAGGCCCCTATATTGGGGTTTGGTGTTTGGGGTTTAGGGTTTGGGGTTTTCGGTTCCAGTAATGTAGGAGCCTAAATAATTACCAATATTATGGTGGGGGTTCCTTAATATAATTATAGTATAATGGGCCCCAAAACCCTATTCTAATTATTAAGCCCCTAAACCCCCGTAGGGCCTTTTCGGGATTTGGGTGTAGAGTGCTGGTTCGCTGAGGGTCCAGCACGCAGGGTTCAGGCCTAAGGGTTTTCGGGGCTTCATGGATTTAGGGGTTTAGGGGTTTAGGGTTTAGGGTTTAGGGTTTAGGATTTAGGGTTTTCGGGGCTTCATGGATTTAGGAGTTCGGTGTTTAATGATGGCATATACCTCGCGGCACAACAGTACATTGCATGGGCTCTGCCCCGGAAAAGGCTTGCCGCAGCAGGAAAGCTCCGATCCATTTCAGGTTCCTTGTAAGGGTTCAGGACGGAATTGTCCGGAAAAGTGTTCGGACCATGCCCAATCTCCCTTTGTCGCTCTATCCCTTTATCCGTTTATGCCTTTGTTCCTTTATTCCTAAACCCTAAACCCTATGCTCTGAAAGAGTCCCTGCGTGATCGCGCTGTGGCATAAGTGGAAACGGAGTATTCGAGGATCTCCATGAAGTATTCTAGGGGTTGTGTTTAAGACTAAGAGATGCTTCATGTTTACATTCAGGATGCCGGTAAGTGTAGAAGGGCCTCCTGAGGAATATGGTCACCAAAAAGTTCGGGGCAGTGTATTCGAGATATGGGTTATAAGAAACCGTACTTCTGGTGCTTTTGGTCAGCCGGTTGCCATCCGGGAACCCCAAATGCCGATCATAGCTTTAAGTGGGCCTCTGGGTTGTCTACAAGGGTTGCATAGGCATTCTACGCTTTAGGGTTTAGGGTCTAGATAAGGGGTTCCATAAGCAGGAAAGCGAGTTTGTTACTCGTTACATATTGATGGTCAGTCATGCCAACCAAAACCCTTAAGCGACCCCTTACAGAGCTCCCATCCAATTTTTTCGAAGGACCCCTTAAACCCTGAGCCTGCAGCCCTAAGCCCTAAACCCTAAATCCTAAACCCTACCCTAAACCCTAAACCCTAAACCCTAAACCCTAAACCCTAAGCCCTAGACCCTAAAGCCTGGGCCCCAACCCCCTTTTTGGGAGACCCACAGCTTCCCCCCCGGAAAGGCATGGAAGTGTCCGTTTTAAATCCGAACGGGCCGCTCTATGCAGACATGACGGTGAGGCGGCTTTGGGGGCTTCCTTTAAAGGGTGCCTTGAAGGAAATCCTAAACCCTAAAACCTTTCAAGGAACCCTTAAGGGAACCCTTAAGGGAAGCATTAGAGGGATCGGTCAAAGGTTCCTTTAAGGGAAGCCTTAGGGATTACTTGTAGGGTTCCTTTAAGGGCTGCTTCAAGGGTGTTTAGGGTTTAGGGTTTTAAGAAGGCCGTTTAAGGGTTGCTTTACGGGTTACTTGACGGGTCACTTTATGGCTTCCTTTCAGAGGCCCCTTTAAGGGTCAATTTGAGGGTTCCTTTGAGGGGGCCCTTTAGGGGTACTTTAAGGGTTCCTGCAAGGGTCACTGGAAGGGTTGCTCAAAGGCATCCTTCAAGGGTTCTGCAGGTTCGTTTACGTGTCACTTTAAGGGTTCCTTTCAGGCGACCCTTTAAGTGGTTTGAGAGGTTTGGGGCTTTACATGAGCTTCGAAAGGTTTGAAATGGGTGTTAGAAGACCCTATTAGGGTTCTGTAGGTTTTTATGGGTGCTTTGTTTAAGATCTACCTTGACCTTGATCTGCCTCGTTTGCCCCACAACCTCCGATATAGAATACTTGGGGCCCTACGAGAAAGTTGGTTGCGCTAGGGCTGGGGGCGTAGGGTTCAGGCTGAGTTGATGATCCTAAACCTGAATCCCTAAACTCTAAACCCTACTACCTAAACCCTCAACCCTGATCCTTGAGCCCCAATCCCTACACACCCTAAACCCTGATCCCGGAACCCTGATCCGTGAACTCCTCTGGGTCACCAAGTTCCATGCTCCTCGAAGTACGATCCTCCCCTAAACCCCTAAATCCTAAAGCCCTCAAGCCCTAAACCCCAAAACCCCTATTCCTAAATCCCTGGACCCCTAAACCCCTGAACCCCCTTAAAAGCCCTACCTAACCCCCCTAAACCCTAAACCCTAAACCTTAAACCCTAACTCCCGTTCAGGCCCATGTCCAACCTCATCCTGAGATCTGCTGGTATCAACTTTGGGGAGATGGAAGTTTCCCGGCCGCACCCAGGGGTTCCTTAGAGGGCTCCTTAAAGGGATCTATAGGTTTCCTTAGAGGGATCCATGGGGTTTAGGGTTTAGGGTCTACTTGGAGGGGCAGGGGACCTAGTAAGTAGGTTATAAGTAGAGTTGTAACTCCTTTAATGGAGTTACCCCCCAATTATAACCCTACTTATAACCGACTTACTACGTCCCCGGTCCAAGTAAGGTCTAGGGTTTAGGGTTTCGGGGTTTCACTGTTTAGTGTTTATGGTTTAGCCCCCTAATATAGAAGCCAGACTGATTCTTGATGCGATTCTTGAGGCTCCGTATTATATTCTGAGAAGATTATTGCCCAGATATACACGATTCTAAAACATTTAAGCCGCCACATCAGCCATCGAATCCAACGCCGCTGACTATCTGCATGGCTCGAAGCTCCGACCGAGGTCCCCGACCGAGCGTTCCGTCAAAACGGTGGGGAAGGGTAAAGCCTCCCGGTATACGAGGACTGTAGTGACGCCGCCCCGCGAATGACTTCTTTGCCGTCAGACAATCAAGAAGAACTCCAATCCCCGAGAGGGGTGCCCTGCTTGGCCTGCCCTGCTTGCCCTGCCCTGCCCTGCTGCCCTGATGTGCCCTGCCCTGGCTGGTGCCCTCACCTACTCCTTGCCCTGCCCTGCCTTGTTCACACTTCGAGCAGTCCTTACAGGGCGCGAGAACCAAGTTCCCAGAGAGCCCAATACCCCTTAATTAAGGAATATGGCTTAAATTGTATAGGGCTTCATATTATGCTTTAAGCTATATTCCTTAATTAAGGGGCTATTGGGCTCTCTGGGTTGTTTGTTGGAGACCCTGGCTTTTCGTCGAGCGGCCCGCACAGGCCGCGAGGACCCACAACCCGACAGCAATCCATTTCAGTTGCGATTTTTTGAGAAATATCGCCGTTTACGTCTGGAGCTGCGAAAGGAAGCAGAGAGCAAGAAAGCCCCTCTTGAGGGGGGTTTGGGGGTGGACCCTAAACCCTAATTGAGAATAGTTGGGGTGGTTGGGGCGGGACTACATGCTGACGCAAGCCCGCGATAAGTGGGTGCGCCCCTATTCCTCCAAAGTAAAAGGCGCACCCACCGCGCGCAGACTGTTACACACCCTAAACCCTAAACCCTAAACACTAAAGCCTAAACCCTAAACTCTAGGAAACTTTAAACACTAAACCCTAAAGGCTAAACCCTAAACACCCCTAGAACTCTACAAGACTTAGCACAGATTAAAGCACAGACTTTAAACCGTAGAGCCTGAAACCTTGACCCTGAACCCGAATCCTTCCAACCCCAAAGCCCAGAATCACCCGATTGCTTTAAATCCGTCTAGGAACCTTTTGTAGGAGCTCCTCAGGAAATCCTGAACGGAACAATTTAAGGAACCTTTCAAAGGGCCCTGACTCAAAGCACCCTAGAACCGGAGCTCCAGCCGCCGCGAAGCCAAGGTTTCGGATTGTTCAAGGCTTCAGCCGTACTGCCACAGGCACCACGGGTTAGGACCTTAGGATGCAGGTTTAGGGATTGGAGGTCTTGGATTTGGGTTTACGGTTTAGGCTTGCGTGATTCAAGCTTGATGGGAATTTAAGGTTTCGGCTCCGATACTGATAATCTGCTTTAAAAAGAACACTGGTCAAAGCTCTAAAAACCCTAAACTTACACTCCTAAACCCCGAACTGAAACCCCTCTACAACCCTAAGCCCGAACTCCAAACCCCAAACCTTCATGCACAGGGTTCGGATCGGTCGCCTCTGTCATCCTCTGTAAGCATGAAATTCTACAGTCCTCAACCCCGAAGCCTAAAAAAAACCCTGACCCTAAAGCTTGACTCCAAACAGCTACTGTCGCTATTCTCTCCTCTTCCTTATTTCTTGCTTCATCCCAAGAAAGAACTCGTTTTGCCCCGGCTTAAAACCGAAACCCTTACTTTCAGGTTCAAGGAAAAATGTAGATGGATTGCACGACTTCAGATAGCCCCAACTGCCAATTGGGGTGGGTACTTATGATAAGGCTGGCACTCAGTCGCACGATCATTCCAGTACTATGGGGGCTTAAATAATTACCAATATTATTTTGGGGGTTCCTTATCATGATCGCAGTACAATGGGCCCACGAAACATTAAGGCCCCATACATTAAAGAACCCGATTAAAGATCCCGGGGTCTAATAGACCCCTTTACAGGGACCCTATTCCAATTATTAAGGCCCCTATTGTATCGCAACATCGTCCTTGCAGGATCGATGGGCGGTTGGTGAGGTTCTCGTGCGGGCAATCCTGCGGCCGCTTCGGCTGCTACTGATGCCGCCGTTCTGCTTGTGCTTCGACGAGCACGGCAACAACCGCAACAATAGCACCATCAGCAGCAGCAGCAGCGGCAGCCGCAGGAGCAGCCAGCACCCGCACCAGCCCCAGCACCGGCAGCGGCAGCGGCACCAGCAGCAGCAGCAGCGGCGGCAGCGGCAGCGGCAGCGGCAGCGGCAGCGGCAGCGGCAGCGGCAGCGGCAGCGGCAGCAACAACAACATCAACTGCAACGGCAACAGCGCCAGCAGCGGCATAGGCACGTAGACTCTGTGGGTCATACCATATCCAAAACTCGATGCAAACCCAAACTGTCGCCACAGCCCTCTACTCGATCTTGGATCGTTTACTGAAGCTCTAGATGCCGAACCCTAACTTTCAGCAAAGAGTGGGATGATGACATGTGTATATATGGGTAATGCCAAGTAAGAATCGCTGCAGAAGGGATCATGAATCCTACCTACCCTCATCCTGCCTTGTGAGGCCCCGTGAATTTCCCGAAAACAGAAGCCCCGCCCCCCAAGCCCTAAGCCTTCTACCCTCAACTGCAAAATGGCAGCTGCAATATCCGAAGAGTCCAAAGGACCCAATAATCAGGTACTAACGGTTTAGGGTTTAGGGTTTAGGATAGTCGTTTTGTAGGAGTATTCAGAAGAGTATATGATTATCACGTACTTGGACACTTTTGGATAGCATTCCTTGGGGTTGCAGATTCTAATTTAGGGATTCAGGGTTCAGGGATTTAGGGTTTAGGATTTAGGGGTCACTCTTGTCATACCACGCAATACCCAACATCCCAAGTATAACTATGAAGGCCCCTAAACTCAACCCTCACAACAATCCGATGACAGGAACCCTAACAGCAACCCGATTCTAAGAACCTAAGCCTTAATCAAAACCGAACCCTAAACCGTCGAATGGTAAGGCCTCCCAACCTACGTGGGTCGTTCTCTAAATTAGGGCCCCTATTGAAGTTGAAAAAGGACCTAAAACGGGACCCTAGTTTGGAGAACTACCCACATAGAACACTTGTAGTACCCTTATAGATACTCGAAGGCACCGTGTCTTAAGACGCAAGCCTGAACACAGCTCCACCCAGGCTGTACGGATGTGACTTCATCTCCATGGTACAAAGTTCCCGCCCAGGGCTGTAGTCCTTCGTGCCTGAGGCCGGGGCTGTAGGGTTCCCTTAAAGGGATCTGTAGGGGATCCCTTAAAGGGATCTATAAGGGTTCTATAAAGGGTTGAGGGTTTAAGGTTTTCTCACGGCTCAGAGTTCTCATGGGTTTGGGGTTTTGGAGTTGAGGCCTCTAGGGTTTAGGGCTTTTCAGATTGAAGGTTCAGGCTTTCGGATTTAAAGCTCAAGGGTGTAGGGTTTAGGGTTTAGGGTTTAGGTTGAATTTTTGAGATTTTGGGGCTTTGGGGATTTGGAATTGGTACACGAACCAAACCTGTCACCTGCTCACGGCGTCACTCGATGCCGAAACAAAGCTTCTGGTGGACATTCTAACTCTAAGCCCTGAACACTAAACCCGAAACCGTATAGAGAAAGCAACCCAAGCAATCACAGAGTCCTGTATGCCGGCAGTTTTCCTGTGTAGGTTTCCACAATGTATGATTAATTAGGAGTCAGCAGCTGGGTACAGGGTTTAGGGTCCAGGGTTAAAGTCCCACAATGTATGGTTAGGAGCCAACAGCTGAGTACAGGGTGTTAGGATTCTACCTGTAGGGTTTAGGTTTAGGGGCTTTGGGCTTCATCGTCTTGTTGAGATATGGGAGTTTCCGAAAATTAGGGGTACCTCATTTTGGGGTCCGTTGTACGAGGATCCTAGTATTTAGGGTATTATATTAGGGCGCTCTATTGTCGGAAACTACCAAACTATAAACCCTAAACCGCTAAACCCTAAACCCGGGCTCAAGCTATAAGGTGCTTCCCTGGCACGGGCCCCTCCTAGACAGCACAAAGTCCGTAGGATGCCAACCCCGGCCCAAACCGCAGAGGCTCAAAGTTCCCAAGAACCCAAGTAAGAACCGACAAACATCGGAAGAAAGAGGCCTGAATACTTAGCGTTCTTACGTAATTTAAGCGCTCAACATGTTTGTAGTATAGGAGCCCCCCAGGTCCTGGTTTGTTCAAGATTGGATCTTATACTCTAAACCCAAATCCCAAGCCCTGAACCCCTATACCCTAAACCCCTAAACCCAAAACCCTAAATCCTAAAACCCTGCCTCGGATGGAGATTCACAGAGCAGACAGGCTGTCGCAGCCGGAATGCGATGACGTGACTGCGACGCCACAGGCCAGTGCTGGGCGAATGGCTGCATTCAGAGGTTTAGGGGTTTGGGGGTTTAGGGGATTAGGGGATTAGGGGATTGGGGGCTTAGGAGTTTAGGGTTTAAAGCTTAGGGGTTTAGAGGCTTAGAGGTTTGGGGGTTTGGGGTTTCGGGGTTTTGGGGTATAGGGGTTTAGGTTTCAGGGTTTATTAAATCCCAACCCATTGCCCTAGCAAGCTCCTTCAAGGCAAGTGTCGATTGATCATGCATATAGGGGCTTAAGAAATTACCAATACTATTTGTAGGGGTTCCTTATATGATAATTATATGATGGGCCCCACAACCCCATTGTTTCAGTAAGACTTGGGATAGGACGTTCTTAATTAGCACGGAACCCACCCTAAACCCTAAACCCTAAATCGAATGAAGGACCTGCGAGAGCAGCCTGGAATAGGATCCGATGTTGCGCAACTCCGACTCTTGAAACCTCAACCGGAACCCAGAGAGCCCAATACCCGTTAATTAAGGAATATGGCTTAAATTATATAGGTCTTCATATTATGATTTAAGCTACATTCCTGGATTAAGGGGTATTGGGCTCTGGGAACCCTGAACCCCAACATCGGGCCCGAGGCTCTTAAACCCTTTATCCGGCTTTCTACTCCGACTTAGGGTTAAGGGTTTAGGTTTTGGGGTTTAGAGTTCCTATTCTGACTTATGGTAACCCGAAACCCTAAACCCCCCGACCATGAGCGTCTTGGAAGCTTCGAGAAGTCGGTGCGATGATGTCTTTGCTGTGTGTCACGCTGTGACTCTGGCAGACCGGCGTGGAGCAACCTGCTCGAGTGGAAGCCTTATATTATCGCTGCGATTCTACCAAGACTGCTCTGTTAGGCCTGCCTCCTTTGGATTGTTCCCTGAGACTGGCCCGTGGCCCTACGGGTAACCTCTTACTTCGCACCAAATCCTCAGGCTGACAAAGCAGCCGGCAAGCGCACCAAGGCCCATAGTACGTGGATCTACTGGCTCATTGCAAGATCTGCTCGTCCGGCCATGTACATGTCTCGCGTTTGTGCCGAACCTGCAGGTTCCCGACAAAGCACGGCTGACCCAGAAGGCCGTTTGTTTGCGTGCTTGCTTCTCGGCTTGAAACGTGCAGCCTGCAACCATGTATGGATCAGGGGCAACGGCGCCAATACTGCGTCGGTTTTCGGGCATGGTGCCTGGAGCTAACTGCCAGATTCTTCCGCCTTGGTCGTGCTTACCTTTGAGGTTGCGCTCCACTGGCGATCGGACTTCACGCACTCAACCTGCGATTTGCAAAGTAGAACGCGGCTGCTCGGCGGTCATCGCGGTTAGAATGTAGTCTCATGTGGCAGGTCCGCAGCTATGAAGAAGCACGTTTGGAGTGGTTGCTGTACCTGAGGTGGTCAGCTACTTTGCTGCGACAAAATACGAGGCGAGGACCTGCGTTAACCATCAGAAAACGCACCGACTGAGTTCGAGGTCCTGGCCGAGTTGGCAACGGTGCGGAACGAAGGTATAGCGGAGGTGCTCGAAGCTGCACGTAGTCCAGGCAGGCTCGCCGTCAAATTATCTTCAGTAACATCTGCACGAAGCTCGGGGTCCGAATATTACTCCGACGGATGCCACCTCAATGCGCGTGGCATCCGGAAACTCGTCCTGAAATACCTGCCGGCCCTCGCGAAGGCCTCGAGGGATAAGACGTGAAACTACCGTCTCAGGAAGCAGCTCCCCAAGTTCAGGATGTGGACATGGTCATTTCAGATTCCGCACTTTGTGCCGTAGCCATCGCCAAGGCAAGATTTCTGACGGAGCACGGTTCTGAAGAAAGTGTGACTGCAACGTGCCGCCAGGAGCACCAGTGGTGGGGGGGCGATTGGGGCGCCCTGGCTGCTTCCCTTCTCGACCTGCCGGTTCACCCGGCTTGGGGGAAGGGATTCGGCTCGGGCGGCTTCAATCGCCACCTCTGGAACCTTTTGCAGCCGCTGGAGGAGAAGGCCCCGCGGCTTCGCAGCTCTTGGTAACCTTGAAAGAAAAAATATCGCGGAGGAGAGAGGGGTCCTTCTCCTTGTGGCAGGCAGGCACCGTCAAAATCACACCAATCAAAGAGCCACTATGCGCAGGCAACGATTGCACGAATCGGTACTGCAACTGGAAGCATCTGCGCTATGAGATGCAGAAGATGATTGAGGCGTCGGGCACCGGCTGAAACATCCATCGCAGGACTACGCACAGACGAAGGTTCGGTTGGTGATCGTGGACGTCGTGCCACTGAGCTACATCGAGGCTAAACCCTAAGGTTTTATGGTTTAGGGTTTAGGGCTCCTGCTCTGATCTTTTGGGATGTTCCTCGCTTTTCGGGTCTTGCAGTTTCTGGGGCTTGAATGATTAGCAGTAGTATCTTAGGGCTTGTATAGGGTTTAGGGTTTAGGGTGTAGCCCTACGGTTTCGGGCTTAGGGGTTAGGGTTTAGGGGCTTAGGGATAGTATTCCGAACAGCTCCCTCTTATCATGGTTTTTCGTTTTCATTATAGTGCAGTTTTTGCCTGAGGCATTGTTCCAATTACGAAGGCCCCTATGCAAATCCCCACAGAATGCAAGTGAAACCCTCAAGAGAACCGTTATAGCAACCCGGCTCTAACTCTCGAGGGCAAGGGCCATGCTGCCTGATTTGAGGTTTCTCTTAAGGACCTGTGCCTGAAGCTGCCCCTCCGGTTGTTAAAAAACCGAGGGTCTAGGGTTTAAGGGTCTAATGGTTTAAGGGTTTAAGGGCTTAAGGGTTTAAGGGTTTAAAGGAATAATGGTTTCAGGGTTTAAGGGTTGAAGGGAATAAGGGTTTCAGGGTTTAAGGGGTTTAGGATTCAACGGTGTAAGGGTTTACGGGCGTAACTTTATACGTGTTTAAGGGTTTAAGGGTTCAAGGGTTTATGGGTTCACAGGTACAGGTTTAGAGGTTATGGGTGCGGCAGTTCAGACACATGAAGGATCAGGGGACTTAGTAAGGGTTCTTACAAGGGCCTTATCAGGGTTTAGTTGAGTTTTGTGCGGGTTCCGGTGTGCTTATAGGTTCTCCACATGGTCCTTCCAAGGGTCTGATTCATGAATTGGACAAGGGTATTGCAGGGTTGTATGTTGTGGCACAAGTATCTTAAATTGAAGTAGCATGATGTGTAGTTAATGTCGCATCAGCATCCTTTTTGCAACTTTCGAAGCACCTGTCTGCTTACAACCTACTTGCAAAGTCCCCTGATTCTTCAAGCAACGGTTCAGGTTTAGGAGTCTTGGGTTGCGGGGCCACTGCACCCTAGGCCATCAAGCCTTCAACCCTAAACCCTCAACCCTAAATCCTAACGTAGGAACCTGGTTAAGAAACCCTGGCCCTATAGCACCCAAGATAGTAGGATTCATACAAGAACCCTAATAAAGGCCCAAGGTTTCTTCATCAGGTTCCTACATTATTGTAGTACCCTTAAAGATCCCTTATAGTAGCCCTTATAGACCCCTTACCATCCTTAAATCTCATATAACCCGAAACCCTAAACCCTAAACCCTGAACCCTAAATAGCCTAAACACCTGTCCTCCAACGCGCTGGCTTTCGGTAGCGGTGGCTCCTCGTTGGTTCCTTTCTCCCCAAGAGTCATCGGACCTATGCTCCATTTAGGGTCTAGGGGTTGGGGTTTAGGGGCCCTACTAAATCCTCTGTTAAACGCCAAGGTTTCTTATTCAGGTTCTCACCTCTCACGATAGGTGTTTTTTTTCTGGTTCTTAAATCCTAAACCTTTAACGCTAAACCGGATAAGCCTGCCCCGGCCCTTCCCAAGAGCCCTAAACGAACAAGAACCCTGTCATCCTGCACTTCCGCAGCTGATGACCCTAGAACTCTGACCCCTCAACTGGTTCGGGGTTTAGAGTTTAGGGTTTAGGGCTTAGGGTAGGGTTTAGGGTGAAGGTTAGGGTAGTGTGTAAAGAAGTTTAGGGATTACTTGGAGGCCGAGGGGACCTAGTAAGTAGGTTATAAGTAGAGTTATAAGTCCCCCTAAATGGAGTTACCCCAATCATAACCCGACTTATAACCGACTTACTAAGTCCCCTGGGCCTCCAAGTAGGCTTTCGGGCTGATTCATCCGCCCCGCAGTCGCCTCGCATGAACGCGTGGACATCCTTCTGGACAGACACTTTGCAAGGCACTTTTTTCAAGGCTTCCCAGGGGCTTGAAGGCATACTTTAAATGGAGCGTTTCAGGGAACCTTTAAAAGAACCCTTAAGGGAATTCTTCAAGAAACCCTTCAAGGAATTCTTGAAGGAAACCCTTAAAAGAATCCCTAAAGAAACCCTTAACGGAATTCTTAAAGAAACCCTCAAAGGAATCCATGAAGACACCCTTAAAGGAATTCTTCAAGAAACCCCTGACGGAATCCTTAAAGACACCCTTTTTTGAGGAATGCCTGTGCAGGGTTTCATGTCTCGGGGGCCGTCGGGTTTAAGGCGGGTTCCGGTGTACGAACCCCAGTTATAACCCTACTTATGACCGACTTACTAAGTCCCCTGCCCCTCCAAGTAGGGTTTATGAAGGGTTTAGGGTTTGGGGCTTTGGCAGCAATGCGAAGCAGAGCGGTTCTCAGACCGCGGGTTACCACCCAAAAACGCAAAACCTGAAGCTTAAACCCCAAATCCTACCTCGGAATAACCTACCTTTTTTAGGACTTCTATACGGAACTCATGATAACGAACCCTCAAAAGGTAGGTTGTTCAGGGTTAAGGTGAACTTTAATCTTGCACAGTTTCAGGCTGCAGTCAGAACTAGGATGAATTTTATTTACCTATGCTATTTTGGGGGCTTTAAGGGTACATTCTAGGAACTCCCATTACCCTAGGCATCTAAGGACTCATATATTGAGGCTTTTGGGCCCAAAGACCATATTATACAAGGCTTTTGGGCTATTTTGATGCCCAGGGTTAAGGGACCTACTTTTTGGATCCTCCCGGGGGTCTGGGATGGTGCATGCTGACCGTATGCATACGATTGTGCCTCTGGCCATGCAAGCCTCTTGACAACCCACCGCGACCGTGCACAGCAGAACTGTCAAACCCTCAGCCACACTCAGCCGTCAAACCTCTCCCGTTAAACCCGACGTCCTACACCACCAAACCGTCACACTTCTCCCGAGCATGGGTTGGGAAACCAGAGACTGGAGGTGAGCCCTCAGGAGTCACAGCCCAAACGAGAATGACACCGAAAGATTTAGGACCCAGAGACTCCAATATCCCCCAATTAAGACATGTTGTTTCCTTAAACTTAAATCACACTATGGATCCTACCATGTTAAGGTATCCTTAATTCCCCGTATAGATCCCTTTAAGGAACACTTTAACGAACCCTTTAATGTACATTCCTTCATTAAGTGGTTTTGGAGTCTCTGGGGATTCACGGTGAAGCTGGGCATGGATTCCTGCTTCTACGCAATGCAGAGTAACCCCATACAACCCTTATATACGGATACCCGATAATAGCCCTATACTTACAACCCTTGGGTGGCTGTCAAAATTGGTCCCTTGGTTTATAATCTTGACAGCCACCCACGTATAGGAACCCGTTTAACTGAGCCTAAACCCTAAACCCTAAACCCTCCCCACACAACCTTTTCGGAACCCTTCAACGGGGCCCTATCCTGGAGATGAAGGCCCCCCCAAGCCCGAAAGCCCTATTCTGGATGGTAAGGCCCGTCTAGGGTTTAAGGGTTTCGGGGTTTGGGGGTAGGGTTTAAGGTTCAGGGTGTAAAATTTCGAGTTTAGGGTTCGGTTTAGGCTACCTAGTTTTCGGAAACTCCCATATTCCCTAAACCCTAAACCCTAAAACCCTAAGCCCTAAGCCCTAAACCGGGGCCTTCTTACCCAGAGACTCCAATATCCCTTAATTAAGGAATATTCCTTAAATCATATTAGGGATCCTACTATAATTTAAGGAATATTCCTTAATTAAGGGACTAAACCGGCGCCTTCGGATCCGATCTGGAGTCACCTAAGGACTACCCCAGCGTCCTGAGCGCACGCTACGGAACGGACATCACGCTCACTGCGGCTGCACGGCTGGTCTTGGGGACTTCGGTTTTGCGTTGGTTTAGGGTTTAGGGGTTTGGGGGCTTAGCGGTTTAGGGGTTTAGGGGTTTAGGGATTTAGGGCTTCAGGGTTTGAGGTTGAGGGTTTAGCATTTAGAAATTCTAGGGTTTAGGGTTTCGGGTTGAGGGCGTAGGACGTTGGATGAAGGGATTTCGGGGACGTGAGGGTGCAGGCCCTAAACCATAAACCCGAGCACTGAGTCACGGGATCCTTATACATACTGCCTTAACTTGTCAGCGGTTTCTTTTTCAAAGCGGAGCTTGTCCGGAGGACTGCTTGAGAGCCTGATTTTGAGTGTATGTGACGGTGTGCATACCCTAAACCCTCAAAACCCTAAACCCTAAACCCTAGATCCTAAACCCTAAACCCAAACCTCTAGCCTGGCCCATGTAGTCTGCCCCACATCTTGCACAGGGATAAGGGGGTTGAGGAAATCTTGCGTGTTTTAACTCTGCATTCTTCTTAGGACTGTAACTCTTAAGGTTTCTATATGAACTATAATAAGGAGCCCAAAAGTTTAACTTTTTTCGAGGTGTTCAGAAGTCAGCCAAGGTAAGTGCTAAGGCTTTAGGGTTTCACCGAAGGTTTCAGGGGTTGAGTGGTTTGGGGCTTTTTAGGTCTTACACCCTCAAATGTTAATAGTTGGGTTTTTTTACAGGACCTCGCTATGTTTCATGTTCCCAGCAAAGAACGCGATACTAGACCAAAAACACTCTTGTGTAGGGGTCTCTAAGGGAGCATCATCCGGCGTTCGGTCATCGTGCCACTCTTTCTCGCACGCTCGCACGCTATATAAACTCTAAACCCTATATCCTAACCCCCCAAAATCCCGGAAACCTAAACCCTGCTCTTGCGGGTTTGTTTCACTGGAGGTCGGAACGAATCTTGCAAAGTTTCATGCACTAACCTTCTAGCCCCTGAGCTTCGAGCCTTGCGAACTCAAACCCTAAACCTCAAACCCTAAACCCTAAATGGTAGGATCCCTAGGACAAAGACACCCCAAAAAGGGAACCTGATCTTTGAATCCGCCCAAAGAATCCCTAAACCCCAAACCCTAAATTCTTGTAAACCCTCCCTAAACCTTAAATCCTAAATCCTCAACTCTAAACAGCAAATCCTAAACCCTAAACCCCTAAATCCTCAAAGCCGTAAACCCCAAACCCTAAACCTAAACCCAAAATCCTAAATCCTCAAACACCCCGGGCAGGTTTGGCCTAACATCCAACAGACCCTCGACATGATGCTCGCCACCGGCTGTCCTGGGTTGCAGCTGGCTCCGACGGACTTCATGACAGGCGCAAGCTCCGTGGGCACTATAGGAGCCTAAGTAAAGGGTTCCTAGGGTTCCTTTTAAAGGGCTCCTTAAATCCTTCCCTGGGCTAGGGTTTAGGGGTTAAGGGTTTAGGGTTTAAGGGTTTAAGGGTCTAAGGGTTTAGGGATTTAAGGGTTTAAGGGTTTAAGGGTTTAGGGGTTTAAGGGTTTAGGGTTTAGGGTTTAAGGGTTAAGGGTTTCGGGTTTAGGGTGGGCACTTTAGGAGCCTAAATAAAGGGTTCCTAGGGTTCCTTTTAAAGGGATCCTTAAATCCATAAAGGGGTCTATAAGGGATCCGTAGTAGGGCAGAAGCTCCCCAAACCCTAATGAGTTTAGGGTTTTGTACTTAGGGTAGGGTTTAGGGTGAAGGTTAGGGTTCAGGGCTTAGGGTAGGGTTTAACGTTTAAGGATTAATATAGGGGCCTAATAGTTACCACTACTATTTTGGGATTCCTGATTACAACGATACCATAATGGGCCCCAAAACCCTCTTCTAATTATTAAGGCCCGTGCATTAATCCCTAAACCCTGTGCATAATTCCCAAGTCCTGAATGTTGATCAAGAAAGTTTGTTGCTGTGATTTTTCAGTATTTTCTTGTTTATTTCCGCTCGACCCAGCCGAACCCCAACAAACAGCCATTGCATTCCTCAAGGGGCACACGTATAGAGGAGGTGCAGCACAAACGTGCCCGGAAAACAAGCCCAAGCTACAAAGTTGTGCTGTCTCATTTTTGGTGTATAGGCATTTATGGGGTTTCCGTATCCCGACTAAAAAACTTGCTACCCCTACTTGGAGGTCCAGGGGACGTAGTAAGTCGCTTATAAGAAGGGTTTAGGGTTTAGGGTTATAGCTATAGTTGGGGTTTAGGGTTTAGTTGGGGTTTAGGGTTGTTAGGGGTACAATAAAGTCCCCTGACCCTCCGAATGGACAGGCCTTGGAACCCGCAAGCCAAGTGATAGCTTACCTGGGTTCTTGTTAACTAGACGCCAACGGTACTTCCTCCTTGTGGTAACTTAATTTCCCTCAACCCTTTTTTCGCAAGCCCTAAACCCTAAACCCTAATTCCCTCAACGTGAACCGTAAGCCCATAACAACCAGCCGGCTTCTCTTCTGCTTACTGCGCTATGTCCTCTGAGCCTTCGGCCCAGTCTCAACTGGCTAGCCCAGAGACTCCAATAAAGGGATATTGGAGTCTCTGGGAGGGCCACGGCGTAGGCTTTAGGGGTCAGGGTGTAGAGTCTTAGGAAGTTTAGTTTTTTGTTTAGGGCTTAAAGGCAAAACGGGTCTTGGGGTTCAGGGTTTAAGGCTTGGAATCTTCTCGTAGGTGGCAGGATCCAGTGTTAAACGCGAAAATCCTGAGTAATCTTGGTTCCTGTTTAAGAAGTTCATTTAAGCTAGCAGAATCGGGGGGAATAGTACATGAGAAAGTTTCCTTGTTATGGTCACGTAAATGAAGTTGCTCAAGACCCCAGTAATCGTCAAGAATCTTCTTTGGCGCTCCTCATCTCAGTTGTATACCTAGAGACTCCAATACCCCTTAATTAAGGAATATACCTTAAATTATAGTAGGATCCTTAATATGATTTACGGAATATTCTTTAATTAAGGGATATTGGAGTCTCTGGGTACTTTGACCGACCCCACAACTCTGTGCCAAGTATCAGGGCCTTATGCTATGCCCTTTTGTAGCAACCCCTGCGAAAAGAGCCCTAAGAGGAAGCCTTGTTTCATCATGAAAGCCCAAACCCTGACTCCTTGCAGCCCTAAGCCCTAAGCCCTAAACCCCTAAACCTTAAACCCCCTAAACCCTACACCCCTGCAACCCTAAGCCCTAAACCCATCTACAAGAAACCTAAGGGCAGCCGAAGAGGACCCCCAAGAGATCCCCCAAAGGAACCCTTCAAGAAAGCTTTAAAGGATCCCCGAAAGATCCCTGAAAGGAAGCCTTAAAGGAACCCCTACAGAGCCCTTCAAGGGACCCTAAACCCTAAGCCCTAAACCCTTAAAATGATCTCGTGCCAGGTGCTGCGTACTGCCAAGGCCTGCATGGGTTTTACTGAGCAGTACTAGGGTTTAGTATTTAGGATTTAGGGCTTAATCCCTACGCCTTACATGTATCCGTTGAATCTTCGCCAGAAGCTGTTTGCTAAGTTCCCTAGTTTGCAGGGTTTTGCAAACCCTAACCGGAGCGCAAATGTACTATTATATAGAGCCATGTGGTCGCAGAGCGAGAGCACGCGTGAAGCAGTCGCAAACTTGTCCATCGAAGAGTACGGGAAACGAAACTGCCCTATAAGACTACGTTCCTGAGTAGTGCCCCTTTGCCCTTTTTATTTCAGGATCCCTGTAAGATGACTTCTTCGAATCATACAGCTTGGGATGCCAAGCCTTAGTTTGGAGTCAGAGTTAACAGACACCGGTCTGAACGAAACACATGAAAATTAAGTGTCTATTTGTTGCCGTTTCTTGTCACAAAGGAGCACAGCATGGACACCTAAAAAATTGCAGCTGTGCGTAAATTTGGTTGGGTTCCTAGCAAAACGCAACAAAACTAAAGTGTGCGTTTACTGCCGTGTCTGCTCGCAAAACGGCACAAAACGGACGTTTGAGCATTTGTCATGTTCACAACCTGTTCTGATCTTGGTTGGCTTGCCGGCAGAGTTTGCGAAAAAAAGAGTCGTGGGGACACTTTTGGCGATGTAAAAGTTGGAGAGCATTACCACTCAGCAGACAACAAGAAGGGAGACTGCTGAAGGTTTAGCGTGTGGTCCCAGGTAAGTTCGAAGCCTTCAGACCTAAACTCAAAACTCTTGGGGTTTTGGGTGAGAAGGGTTTGGGGGCTTTGAGTTTAGGGGATTAGGGTTTATGGGTTTTGGTTTAAGGGTTCAGGGGGTTTAGTGTTCCGGGTTTAGGGTGCGCTTTCTGACCTGCGATGAAGGTTTCGATGAGCTTTTCCAGCCGCTGGCGCACGTGTGCCCAGCCAGCTTGGTATAGTGGTGAGTTGGGGTTTCAAAGTCTGTGGTTTAGGGATTCGGGAGGTCACACTTGCGTAGGGCGTTTGTTTTTTTTTCAAGTTGTGTTGGGGTGTAGGGCTTGGTTCCTGGAGGTCTGCTTTCGAAACGCACCTCATGAGTGTTCGGACTGCAGCAACATGAGCTGCGGTTTGGTCACTGTGGTCACATTGAGACATGGTTCTGCGATGCCAAAGTTGCGTTCCCCGTCTTGTGAGTCCATCTTTAAAGCCCACGACATCACCTGAAGCCCTAACCTCACGCACCGCAGCCCCTTGAAGATATCAAAGCTTATCCTCCTAAGCCGCAAAACCCTCAACATTAAACCCCTAAGCCCTCAGCCCTAAACCCGAAACCCAAAGCTTCCCCCAACCCTTGAAGTGCAGAATGCCAGTGAAGCCCTTAGGCCTCTTCAGCTCTCAAGCAGACATGAGCCTTTTGGGAGTTTAGGGGTTTAAGGGTTCAAGGGTTTAGGGGTTTATATATGGGTTCAGTGGAGTTTCAAGGGTTTATGGGCTTAGGGGCTTAGGAGGTTATGGGTTTTTTGGGTTAGAGGCTAGGGAGTCCTGAACGCCGCACCCAAATCCCTTTTGTACGGGTCAGAATAATTAGAAACGCTGCTTAGAGTCCCGGAATTCTGGTATAGTATAGCACTGAAACCCTAAACCTGAAACTCTAAACCCTAAAGCCTTAACTGTTGAGGCCCAAATCTTGAACCCAGAGAGCCCAATACCCCTTAATTAAGGAATATAGCGTAAATCATAATATGAAGCCCTATAAAACCCTAAACCCTAAACCCTAAACCCTAAACCCGAAACCCTAAACCCTAAACCCTTAATTAAGGGGTCTTGGGCTCTCTGGGAACCCCTGAGCTCGGTCTTGGGTTTGGTTTTTTGGGGTGCAGGGCTTAGAGTGTAGGGTCTCTGTGCCCAGGGACTCCCAAGACCCCTTACCAAAGGAGCATGCCTTAAATTATAGTCGGATCCCCAATATACTTAAGGAATATACCTTAAGTTATGGTAGGATCCCTAATATACTTAAGGAATATACCGTAAATTATAGTCGGATCCCCAATATACTTAAGGAATATACCTTAAGTTATGGTAGGATCCCTAATATACTTAAGGAATATACCGTAAATTATAGTCGGATCCCCAATATACTTAAGGAATATACCTTAAGTTATGGTAGGATCCCTAATATACTTAAGGAATATACCGTAAATTATAGTCGGATCCCCAATATACTTAAGGAATATACCTTAAGTTATGGTAGGATCCCTAATATACTTAAGGAATATACCTAAATTGTAGTAGAATCCTTAATGTGATTCAAGGAATATTCCTTAATTCGGGGGTTCAGCGTCTCTGGTCTCTGCAAGGTTTAGGGTTTAGGGCCAAGCACCCCTTAGTCCGACACTCCGAAGCCCAAGGCCCAAAGCCTCAACAAGAATTCCTGTTTGTAGGAACCTATAGAGTAACCCCAGAAGACTAAGAGGGACTCCAAAGGGTGCTTATAGGTATAGCCTAAACTTAGCCCCCTAAATCTTAGATCCCCGATACCTAACCTTGAAACTTTTTGAGGTCTTGTGATTTAGTAGGAATCGGAAAGTTTGACCTTTCATTTCTGTGGCTTATTGGGGTAGTAAGTAAGCCTAAACCCCACAGTCACATTGGGGCTTAGGGTTCAGGTTCCAGGTTTTAGGTTTGAGCCCTGAGCCCTACTACACCAAGAGTGTTCCCCTCCCCAGAGACTCCAATACCCTTTAATTAAGGAATATTCCTTAAACCATATTAAGGATCCTACTATTAATTTAAGTATAGACCCCCCTTATAGATCCCTTGAAGGAGTCCTTTCAGGAACCCTAGGTATATTCCTTAATTAAGGGGTATTGGAGTGTCTGGGTTCCCTAAACCCTAAACCCTAAACCCTAAACCCTAAACCCTAAACCCTAAACCTTAAACCCTACACCCTACACCCTAAACCCTAAACCCTAAACCCTACACCAAGAGTGTTCCCGTCCTCAAAGGTGCCCAGAGACGTGCGGATGCAAGCAGCAGGGCGCACTTCCCAGCGCCCTGGCCCTTAGGATGCTTGGGTTCGTGGCAGGTCAGGGTTCCCTTAACGGTTTAGGGTTTAGGGTTTAGGGTTAAGGGTTTAGGGTTTAGGGTTTAGGGTTAAGGGTTTAGGGTTTAAGGTTTAGGATTTAGGGTTTAGGGTTTAGGGTTTAAGGTTTAGGGTTTAGGGTTTACAAGCCACCATGTGATGTAAAAACCAGTTTTCGGGTTTCTATGAAGTCTATATTCTGGTTCATAATAAGAGCCTACAAAAGTTTCAAAGAGTATCAGGCTACGGACGGGTACACCCATCGCACCTCGACTCAAACTATTAACTCTATTAACTCCTCGCGCTTGTGACCCTCCCCGCAACCGAATCGAGGATGAACACAATGATAACAAAATGTCCTAAGCAGCCAAGTCAGACGCACAGTGGAGGGCTCAATGTCTAGAGTTCCCCAACCTTAATCCCTAAACTCGAGTTTACCCAGAGACTCCAATATCCCTGAATTAAGGAATAGTCCTTAAATCATATTAAGGGTCCTACTATATTTTTAAGGCATATTCCTTAGTTAAGGGGTATTGGAGTCTCTGGGTACTGTAAGTTGAGTGCAGGGCGCAGAACGCAAGACGTCCGAACTCTTTGTCAAGGCCCAGGTCCGGGTGCTTTCAGCACCAGGTTTTGTTTTGGGGTTTAGGGTTTAGGGTTTAGGGCTTAGGGTTTAGGGTTTAGGGTTTAGAGCTGAGGCTACTGCCCCGCCTCTTGCTCAGCAGCGGCAGCAGCGGCAGCAGGCAACGCATCGCAACGTTAATGCCGACCCCGGGTCGTGCACATCCCGGGAAAGTGTGAGGCATGAGGGTTTCGGGCTTCTGCAAACCGTCCTAAACCCGAGACCCGGAATCCTAAACCCCTACTCAACGTGGTTTTGTAGGAGCTCATATGTTTTTGCAGGCGCTTCATGAAGGAAGATGTCGTGAATCGTCATCAGGGTCCTTCTAAGTCCTTCTTTAACTGCAACTTAAGGCTAATGGGAGCCTCGGGGGGATGATTCTTAGTCATCCTCTTTTTTGTAACCCACTTACTTTGGTAGACACCAGAACCAGACTGTCCTGAAGCCCCAAACCCATCCACAGAGAATGGTCGGCCAAATGTTTTGGCCATCATCACTTTTGAAGCAAAGGCAGATGTTATCTGCATGTGGGTGGTGACCCAGAGACTCCAATACCCCTTAATTAAGGAATATGCCTTAAACTATAGTAGAAGGAATATTCCTTAATTAAGGGATATTGAGTCCCTGGGGATCAACATGAAGAGATTTCGGAGCTCTAGGGTTAGTGTTTACAGTCTATGGAAAGAGCCCCAAGTCTGAAAGCCCCAAACTCCAAGCCCTAGCCTCAAGAAGCCCTCAACCCCCGTAAAGCTCTAGACCCTGAGACCCCGAAACCCCTTACTTAAGGAATCTTCCTCAAATCATATTAGGAGTCCTACGAAACTTTAAGGACTTTTCCGGATCTATAAGGGTTCTATAAGGGAATTAAGGAATATTCCTCAAATCATATTAGGAGTCCTGCTGTACTTTAAGGAATTTTCCTAAATCAAGGGAAGTTGGAGTCCCTGGCAAGCTTCTGAATAATTCCTACCCTGAGCCCTACTTGGAGGATCATGGGACTTAGTAAGTAAGGTTATAAGTACCTTCATTGGGGTTATAAGTATAGTTACCTTAATTATAACCCTAGTTACTAAGTCCCACGATCCTTTAAGTAAGCCCTAAACCCTCAAGATCCTTTGTGGACCATTCAGCGGGGATCCTATTGTAGTACACTATACTAGCCTAAAGTAGTAAGCGACCCCATTATAGGACCATATACTACTCCTTAAAGGAATCCTAGACCCTGAACCCTTGCAGGAACCCCGTGATAGATCCCTAAAAAGACCCCTTCGAGGTTCCCTGCAAAACACCACTGTTCTTCTGGCGCACCAAACCCTAATTTGGGGCCCTATACTACTAAGGGTACTTTTTAGGAACCCCCATAAAGGGATCCACTTTTTGGATCCTCCCGGGGGTCTGGGTTCTTCTAGCACACCGGGCCTGCCCTAAGGGCAAGCTCGCTGTGCACGCGACACTTGCAGGGATGGTGGGAGTCTCCGATCCTGAGGAGAGAGACGCTTCAAGCTTTAGATGCTGGAATATAGGGACCTCAATAATTACCCACACTATTTTGGGGCTTCCTCAATATATTTATAGTAGAATATACACCAAAACCCTATTCTAATCATTAAGGCCCTAGTGTAGAGCTTCAGGGTGTTAGGGTTTAGGGGCTGTTAGGTTTCCTTTCAGGGTTCTTTATGTGCGATCAAAAAGGGATCGATAGGGGTTTAGGGTTTGGGGATTCTGGGCTTTGGGTTTCGGGTTAAGGGCTGTGGAGCTCGAGCTGCCAACGCACCTACACCCCGCACCATACTTAGAGTCCCAAGGGATTTAGTAAGCGTTCTTATAGGGATCTATAGGGTTCCTGAAAGGGATCCATGGGGCTTAGGGTTTAGGGTCTACTTGGAGGGGCAGGGGACTTAGTAAGTAGGTTAAAAGTAGAGTTAAAAGTCCCCCTAAATGGAGTTACCCCAACTATAACCCGACTTATAATCGACTTACTAAGTCCCCTGCCCCCCAAGTAGACCCTTAACCCTAAGCCCCACAGATCCCTTTAAGGAACCCTATAGATCCCTTTAAGGAGCCCTTTAAGAGCCCTTACTAAGTCCCCTAGGGCCCCCGAGTCGATCCCTGCTGAAAGGATAGTCGCCTGGGTGAGTTTATTCAGCAGATCCCCAGAGACTCCAATACCCCTTAATTAAGGAATATACCTAGGGTTCCTTAAAGGGATCTATAAGGGATCTATAGGGTTTAGGGTTTAGGGGACTCCAATACCCCTTAGTTAAGGAATGTACTTTAAATCATATTAGGGACCCTGCTATACCATAATTAAGGGGTTTTGGAGGCTCTGGATCATCATAGGAGGCCAAAAGGGGTTTTAGCCTGTGGAGGCTTAGTCGGGATTAGGGTTCCCAGAATAGAGTTCATAAAGGAATCCCTACCCCCAGAATCTTAAACCACCCTTTTGGCCTCCAATCAGATCATCCCTCGCACTCGCGTTCAAGGGTTGGGGTAAGGTTTGGGGTTTAGGGCAAGTTTAGGGTTTGGGTTTCAGGGATTAGTTATTGCAGCTACCGCTGATTAGTCCCCTGAACCTTGGTTCTATTGTTCCATTAATGGCACCGTAGAGGTGTATCCTGCAGCACCATCAAGGCTCTCTCTGACTGTTGAGGTCTCTATACTGAATAACCCTAAACCCGAAACCCTAACCCCTATAAACCCTAAACCCTAACGCCTAAACCCTAAACCCTAAAAAGCTTTAAACCCTGAAAACCTAAGCACTTCGGTTTCGGACCCTGAGTCCCTTGCTTCATGATGCTCCGAATTGTGGTAGCATGGAAGCGCCGAGTGGCCAGACTTTTCAGCGTGCTGTCGACTGCGCTGTGGGAGCCTGTGAAAAGGTGTTTGCGTTTGAAAAGCCAGGCGGGTATCATCACAGCGGCCTAGCATTTCGGGCTTTTTGGGTATGGGCGGTATGGTGTTTTGGGATGTGATTGCAATTGTGACCTTGGGCGTTCCGGATGTAGGGCTGGCCAAAGCCCGGAGCCCTAAGCCCTAAGCCCTATACCGAACTTGGAAGCTTGGATTAAGACAGTTTCCATCTCGGTTTTTCCAAAGCCAAAATCGACGCCCCAAAGCTGTCAACTTACAGTAGAATCAGTAGAAGCGCACATGTTGGAAACCCAGTAGCCTCAATCCTGAAGAGTAATTTACAGGAAAATTTCCGCACTATTTGTCCTTAATCCGGTTTCCAACGTTTTGGGGTTTACTGCAAGGCCTTGATCCGCATTCAGGGGTCATGTAGAAGCCTAAATCATTACCAGCCTTCTTCCTAGGGCCCCACATCAGCTCTAGGCCCAAAGCTTTCGCAAGCAAAGGCGAACCCCCGGATCCTTATCTGCAGCTCGGTTGAAGACTAGACTCATGTTTAGAGTTTGGAGTATTGGGGTGTAGAAGGTGCAGGTTTTCGATTTGTTCTTTGATGGGTTTTGTGGTTTAGGGCTGCCGGCTATGGGGCTTTGACCCGTCTCTCTCTCTCTCTCTCTCTGTCTCTCTCTCTCTGTCTCTCTCTCTCTCTCTCTCTCTCTCTGTCTCTCTCTCTCTCTCTGTCTCTCTCTCTCTCTCTGTCTCTCTCTCTCTCTCTCTCTCTCTCTCCTCTCTCTCTCTCTCTCTCCAACCATCCGAGGGGAACAGCAAGACTGATGCCCATCTGATCTAAGCATCCCCCTGAATCCTCCTTAAACTTACCTTTGGTTAGTAGGGAATGGAGGAATGGGGTAGAATTATAACTACTATTACTGCATTTCTTCCATTCCCTATTAACCAAAGGTAAGTAAACGGGGTGCGGCTCGATGTACATTCAAACCCAAACCCCCGGGAGGATCCAAAAAGTAGATCCCTTAACAGGAGTTCCTGTACAGTACTCTTAGTAGTATAGGGCCCCAAATTAGGGGATCTACTTTCTAGAGGGGTCTGGGAAGAAGCCTTTCAATATCCTCGTGAACTCCTCCTCTAGCACTTGGCAACACCCTTTCGAACCCTCACAACTAAACCCAGACACTCCAAACCCCTTATTTTTTAAGGACTTATACGTTAAATTTGTAATACAAACCCTTATAAGATTTAAGGTATTCGTTAATTCCATTATAGAACCCTTATAGATCCCTGTCCGGAACCCTTTGAGGGGCTTGGAGTTTATGGGAAGCACCCCAAACCTCACACGCCAGAGACCTGTCCCGCAGCCTCTCCTCCCTGCTCCCGACGGTTTAGGGGTTTAGGGTTTAGGGATTCAGGGGTTTAGGATTTAGGGCCATTTAGGGGTTTAGGATTTAGGGTTTTAGGGTTTAGGGGTTTAGGGTTCGGGGGCTTAGGGTTTAGGAACCGCAAGAGGAAGCACCGTTCGCAGCCGGGCCCCGCCAGAACCGTAGCAACGTGAAAGGGTTCCAGCCCTTGATGGGTTGCGCCTTCCCTTCATGTGAGCTGTCTTTATGCGTGCCCCTTCTGCCCGCTGAACAACCTCAAATCCGAGACTCTGAACCCTTAATATAGGCGCCTTACTAATTACCTATACTATTTTGGGGGTTCCTTATTGTAATTATAGTATACTGGGACCCGAAACCCTATTTTACTTCTTAAGGCACCTATATCAACCCTGGTACCCGAAACCCCGAACCGATCATCCTCAACACTAGTCCAAAGGGGCAGCCATGGTTTTCTTGCCTAGGTTTGGGATTCAGGGTTTAGGGTTTAAGGATTCAGGGGGTTTAGGATTTAGGGCCATTTAGGGGTTTAGGATTTAGGGCTTTAGGGTTTAGGGTTTAGGGTTTAGGGTTTAGAATCACGAGTCCTTGCCTAATGGCCTCGGAGAAAATTCCGGCACGTTTCTCGCCAATCTTCGTGGAGTCCAGCGCTGCTGCATCTCGGCTAAGCCCGATTGAAGAATCTTCTCAAAAAGCGCAGTCTTTTGCATTGAAGCGTCCTGGGATTGTCAAACGTTATGCTTCCTTTTATGATTTCAAGAGGCTTACAAAGCCAATGCACTATGTTTCTCTGGGATCAATGTACCTCTGATATACTATGCCATTTAGGTACAGGTTGGTACTCAGGCCCCACAAAAACCCTGTACGAAAGACAGCAAAGGTTCATGGTCTAGGATTTAGGGTTTCGGGTGTAGGGTTTGGGGTGGAGGGTTTGGGGTTTTATAGGGCAGCTAAGGCAGTTGAGAGCTGGATTCCTGCCGAGTTTGAGGAGGGCACTGAACTGTCGCCGCGGCTTCTGGATGTGAGCCTGGGCGCAACCCGAAACCCCAGACCCCTAGGATTTAAGGTTTTAGGGTTTAGGGAACCCGGGTCCAATTTGGATGTGTTTTCGTTTTTGACTGCCTTAACCCTAAACCCTAAACCCTAAACCCTAAACCCTAAACCGTCGAAGCCTTCAGATTCAGGGCGTGGCTAACAGGAGCCCGAAAATCCGAACCACCCGAAACCCTAAACGGTCTGAATCCCCAAGCGCCCCGAAGCCCCAAGCCTCTCACCGAATGATCCGGACCCCTAGACCTTCAAAGCCCAAGTCAAAATGCCCTCAGGGTTTAGGGTTTAGGGGTTGAGGTTTAAGGTTCAGGGTATAGGGTTTAAAGCTCTGGCTTGAATTGAAACCCCTGAGTCCTACACCTTCCACCCCCAAACGCAACCTTATACTCCAAACCGTCTATGGTAGAAGCCAGAAAGTTGGAACATCACTGTCCTCATGCCCTTAAGGTAAAGTATAAGGGATCCTAGCACTGGTCCTCCTAAAGCCATGTTCCAACTTTCTGGCTTCTACTATAAACCCCAAAACCTAGATCCCAAACCCCTACCACTTCTTCACAACCCCCAGAAAGACGTCCCCCTTTAAAAGAAGCATAATGTAATTAAAGGCCCCTATATTATAGTACCCTTATAGTAACCCTTATAGAGACCCCCCTAAAACTGAACCTAGAACCAAACGTCCGTCATAATGACTCTCATGGAAGCCTTACTATAGGGGCCCCAATATTTACCTATACTGTTTTGGTGGTCCCTTATTATAATTAGAGTATAACGGGCCCCAAAAAACAAATTCTAATTATTAAGGCCCCTATACTATATACCCTATAGAAACCCTTATAGAACCCTTCAAGGGGCCCTTTTTAGGAACCCTCATGGGATGAAAGCGTAAGCCCGAAACGTCAAGACGGGCCCTAAGTGCCAAAGCTTTAGGATGCGTGTAAGGAACCCTTGAAGGACTCCCTTGAAGGATAGGGTTAAGGGTTTAGGGGTTTAGGGTTTAGCCCTTGAAGGAATCCTTAAAGGAACCCTTGAAGGACTCCCTTGAAGGATAGGGTTAAGGGTTTAGGGGTTTAGGGTTTAGCCCTTGAAGGAACCCTTGAAGGACTCCCTTGAAGGATAGGGTTAAGGGTTTAGGGGTTTAGGGTTTAGCCCTTGAAGGAATCCTTAAAGGAACCCTTGAAGGACTCCCTTGAAGGATAGGGTTAAGGGTTTAGGGGTTTAGGGTTTAGCCCTTGAAGGAATCCTTAAAGGAACCCTTGAAGGACTCCCTTGAAGGATAGGGTTAAGGGTTTAAGCGTTTAGGGTTTAGCCCTTGAAGGAATCCTTAAAGGAACCCTTGAAGGACTCCCTTGAAGGATAGGGTTAAGGGTTTAGGGGTTTAGGGTTTAGCCCTTGAAGGAATCCTTAAAGGAACCCTTGAAGGACTCCCTTGAAGGATAGGGTTAAGGGTTTAAGCGTTTAGGGTTTAGCCCTTGAAGGAATCCTTAAAGGAACCCTTGAAGGACTCCCTTGAAGGATAGGGTTAAGGGTTTAGGGGTTTAGGGTTTAGCCCTTGAAGGAATCCTTAAAGGAACCCTTGAAGGAATCCTCTACGAACCTCTAGAACCGCCGGAGAAAGACCCGTTAAGGAAGCGCCCAGAGCCGAATACCTCATCAAAGGTTCAGGGGTTCAGGATTTAGTGGTTTAGGGTTTGGGGTTTAGGGTTTCTACTATTTGCTTAAGAACCCCTAAAAAATAGAAAAGTATATTCCTTATGGGGGTAATATAGGGATTGTTATTTTTATTTTTTGGGGGGTTTCTTAAGCAAATAGTAGGTTAGGGGCTTGGGTTTAGGGGTTTAGGGTTTAGGGCTTAAGCGGAGACAACCCTCTCATGGAAGCATGCGGGAAACCCTTGCAGACAACCCTTAACCCTGAGCCCTAACCGCAACCCTAAACCCAGAGCCCAGAAAAAAACCCGAACCATGAACCCTGAAGCCTAGCTAAACCCTAAACCCCGAGCACTTAGCAGCCTGGAGAGTGCATCAGGAACTTGATCATACTTGTAGCCTGAATCCTAAATCCTCAGCCCTGAACTCTAATCCCTAAGCCCTGAACCCTAAACCTTGAACCAGGCAGCCTAAACCCTAAACCTCTAAACCCCGAACCCTAAACCAGGAAAAGAGGAATTCTTTCTGTATCTGCAGTTGGAGAAGGGCACATAGAAAACGAAAAACAGGAAAGAGTCTCAGGAACTTGATCATCGTCGGAGATGGCCCGGAGGCGGAGCGGTTGCTGGAGCGGCGCTGGGAAGAGGGAGGGCGGGTCTGCCTCTCACCTGCTTAGGGTTTGGGGTTTAGGGTTCTTTAGGGTTCTTCAGGGTTTAGGGTTTAGGATTCTTTAGGGTTTAGGGTTCTTCTGGGTTTAGGATTTAGGGTTCAGGGAGTTAGAGTTTGGAGTTTGGGGTTTAGGGTTTAGGGTTTGGGGATATCACCTGAGGTGATCAACCGAGAGTCTAGGGCTCAGGGCTTACAGTTCGGAGTTGGAGTTTAGGGAGTCAGTCGGAGTTTGGACTTTAGGGCTTAAGGTTTGAAGTGTTCAGGGTTCAGGGTTTGAAGTGTTTAGGGTTTCGGGTGTAGAGTTTGGAGTCAAGGGTTTTAGGGTTCAGCATTCAAAGTTTGGGGTGTGGGGTTTGAGGTGCAGGAGGCTTTGGGGTTTTACGACGGTTTAGGGTTTAGGGTTTAGGGTTTAGGGTTTAGGGTTTAGGGTTTAAGGTTTAGGGTTTAGGGTTTATGGTAGGGCTTCGGATTAAGTTTGTGGTTTTTTCAGGCTTTTGGAGTTTAGGGTCCGGGGTTGAGGGCTCAGGGTTGAAAAGGCTGGGGCTTGGACCCCTCCTGCATCCACAAAATACCCTACACCCCAAAACCCTAAATCCTGAACCCCAAAGCCTTAAACCCTTGAAAGTAGCTTGACGCAGGCCCGATCTTAGCCAAGATCCCATAAAGGTCTAGGGTTTAGGGGTTTAGGGGTTAACGCTTTGGGGTCTATTGGGCTTCTTGTGTTTAACGCTTGAAGGTTTGAAGAGACCCGGAGGCAAACGGGTCCTTCGAGGTCTTGAATTGGTTTGTTAATGTTAAGATGCAGTACGGGGCTTTGCAGGATAGGATGTTTTGCATCTGGGCTCCTGCAGCATCTGCAATTTCTGGAGTTTGAGACTTAGCTTTCGGAGTTTCAGGTGTTTTTCGGTTCGGGGGTGTTAGGGGTTCAGGCGGTCTAGGCTTAGGTTGTGTGAAAGTCAAGAAACGAAGGTCCACATTTTAATTATCTCCACATCGTTCTTGGGCACTTTAGTGGATGAACGAACATAGCAAGTAGGATTATACCGGGTGGCCTTAGATATTCTTACATATAACTCCAGTATATTCAGAGTCCTTTCCCCTTCCTAAACCCGAACCCTATAGGGGAAGAGCCCTAAATCCTAAACCCTGAACCCTAGGCCCTACAGCCTATCCACTTTAAATCCTCAACCCTATAGACCCTATTGGCCCGATAGAAAACCCTAAACCCTAAACCCTAAACCCTAAACCCAAAAGACCCTAAACCTTAAACCAAAGCCCTATAGACCCCAAGCCTCAAACATAGACCCTAAACCCTATGGACCCGAAACCTCGGACCCTAAACCCTAAACCCAAAACTCTAAACCCTATAAGCCCAAAGCCCTAAACCTCAAACCCTACACCCTATAAGCCCTAAACCTCAAATCCTAAACTCTATAAACCCTATAAACCCTATAAACCCTATAAACCCTATAAACCCTATAAGCCCTAAACCCTATAAACCCTATAAGCCCTATAAACCCCATAAACCCTATAAACCCTATAAACCCTGTAAACCCTAAACAAGGTCCCCCTTGTCCACCAAGGCCTCCTCTGGACGAGCCGACTGCCGGAGAGGTCGAAGGGAAACATCGCTAGCCCGGAGGACTCTGGGGTTTGGGATGTAGGGGTGTTTAGGGTTTAGGGCTTTGGGTTTAGGCGTTTAGGAGTTTAGGAGTAATATAAGGGTTTCGGATGTAGGGGTGTTCAGGGTTTGGGATGTGGGGTGTTTAGGGTTCGGGATGTAGGAGTGTTTGGGATGTAGGGGTGTAGGGTTTGGGATGTAGGGGTGTTTGGGGGGGGGTTTAGGGTTTGGGATTTTTGGGGGTGTTGGGCTGTGGGTTTGGGTTTTTTGGGGTTGTGATTTCCCAAAGAACCAGCACGCCTCGACATCTCCGACCTTATCGGGTTTAGGTTGACAGGGTTTAGGGTTTAGGGGTTGAGGGTTTTGGGGTTTAGGGTTTAGGGTTTAGGGGTTTAGGGTTTAGGGTTTAGGGGGGGTGAGGCACGTGAGTTTGAGCTTTGAGTTCTGGCGTTTCGGTTCGAGCTGGCAGTGGGATTGGTTCTGCAGTCGGCATGTAGTACTGTTGATGATATAAACCCTGCATTACCTTAAGGACCCGAAACTATGGAAATTATGGTATACTCCTTATTATGGGTAATGCAAGATTTTTATCATCAACCATATAGCTGGTGGCGAAGTCGGAAGACCTTTTAGAGTGATTCGGAAGTTTCCCAAAATGGGGGATCCCAATATGGTACCCTAAATAGTAGGATCCTTGTTATAAGGACCCCAAAATAAGGTACCCCAATTTTCGGAAACCCCCATTTGGCCTGGGAAGACCCCTAAACCCTAAACCTTAAATCCTAAACCCCTAAACCCTAAATCCTAAACCCTAAACCGTTCAGGGTTTGTGCTGTGGGTTCCGGGGTCGGATAGGGAGCCCTGGGGTCCTGCAGTCGTGAAGGACCCAGAGACTCCAAACCCCCTCAATTAAGGAATATACCTAGGGTTCCTTAAAGGGATCTATAAGGGATCTATAGGGTTTAGGGTTTAGGGGACTCCAATACACCTTAATTAAGGAATATTCCTTAAGTCATATTCAGGATCCTACTATAATTTAAGGAATATTCCTTAAATCATAGTAGGATCCTTAATATGATTTAAGGAATATTCCTTAATTAAGGGGGTATTGGAGTCTCTAGGCAGGGGCCCTGCAATCGTGAAGGATTGGACGCTCCAATTTTTCTGCATCTGGAAGGGCTCCCAAAGTGGGGGTTCAGGAATTGGGGTTTGGTGCCCGAATCTGTGGTGTTGTGTGTAACTAAGCAACCGTGTACGACGCCGCTAGATAGGTTTTTGGTCGGGATTTTGCACAAGACCCTGAACCCTAAACCGCAAGAGCTGCATTCAGAGGAGTTCGAGGATGAGATCGAGAATTTGGAGGACGAATCAGCAGAGTTGGAACACGTTGAGGGGCCGACTTCGAAGAGGGAAGACACCAAGGCGGAGCCGGCGGATCTTTCAGAGGAGCTGATAGACGAAGCACAAGACCTGAAGAAGCCACCTCATCCCGAGAAGGCGTCTGAGCAGTTCGAGGCCCCCTCTCCCAAGAAAGAGCCGAGGAAGGAGCAGAAATGGCCGATGTTTCAGCTGAAGAGTTTCTTAGGGGTGCTTAGAAATATTTTTTAATTTTTGGTTATTCGAATCCCTAAGGAACAGCTAAAATTATAATTTTTGCTAGGGTTCTAAGTTCAGTATAGAGTTTCTTAGCAGCTGGATGCGTGTGCTTTTTCGTGTTTTGGAATCATATTATCCCCTACCGAAGTGAAAGTTTGCACATGTTTGGGCCTATGAACTCAGAAATTAAGGTAAAAGCCAGAAAGTTGCAATATGATTATCCTAACCCTTCTATGGTAATTTATAGGGTATCCTACTATGAAACCATATTCCAACTTTCTGGAGTTCCCTTTACCCTAAACCCTAAACCCTAAACCGTTACATTAGGTTTTACATGGCAACCTCCAAGTCGATCTGCCCCGTCTGCAGCAGTAGTGGTCCTTCGCAAGCGCTTTGCCTGCATGGAATCTTAGCTGACTGAGTATGGGGGTTTCCGAAAATCAGGGTACCTTATTTTGGGGCCCTTATAATAAGGATCCTACTAGTTAGGGTGCGATATTAGGGTCCCCTATTTTCGGAAACTCCCGTATACTTTGCACCTTCTGGGATAGCATACTTCTTGATAGAACCCCAAACCGTGAAGAACCACAAGCCTTGATTTATGAACCGCAAAACCCTTAAACTTTTGTTGGTTACAAGTCTGCGAAGTGGCAGCAAACAGAGCTCGCCTCAAATGAGGCTTTCGCTGGATCAGACGAAAAGGTACTCAAAAAAAAAGCAAAACTTCTTGGGGCTTTGTGAATTCAGTAGCTAAGGAGGTGGGATCGATACGAATCGGGCCGGACATCGTCGACTTGAAGCCCGGACAATGGTATGAACTGATTTTCGACAGGCATGGCTTTCGTGATGTAGGTAGCTTTCCAAATTAGAGTCCCTTTTTAGGATTGCCTTTTGCAAGGGTGCCGTAATATATTGGGGACCTAAAGAGGGACCTTAATTTGGAGAACTACCCATGTGGGAAAGTGATTGAGAAACCCTGTGTCGTTATTGGGTTCTTGTGTGTGAGTCCTAGCAAGTTGGGGTTATGGTGCCAGGCTTCCTTAATCAGGCTCCTACGTTAGAATGCTTTGCTGCTTTACTGGGCCAGTGGATATTTTGTTGGTACAGCTTGTGTTTTGTCGGCTTTTGGATGATGTCTTGTTTAATTTTGCAGGGGCTGTACATGAACATTGACCTCTACTTTCGAAGCCTGAACAGATACCAATATTACATTGCACTTAAGGGCTGCGTATCACAACCGGCACACCATTGTAATTGTTAAGGCCCCTGCACGATGTTGACAGGCATGGGCGGCCCACGGGCGTCTGTGTTCTCCAGCGTGCTTCACTCGAACATGGCGAGGTCGCTGTAACTTCAACCCCATATAGAACCCTTGCAGTCCCCTGAGATAGTAGTTCTGATAGCGGGCCTTCTACAACCCTTCCAGAACGCCCCTATACCCTAATGAAACCATAAGCCTTAAACCCCAAGCCCTACACCCTAAACCCCTAAACCCCTAAACCCTAAACCCTAAACCCTAAACCCCCAAGCCCTAAGCCCTAAACCCCAAGCCCTCAACCCTGAAGGTGGAAGTAGCCTGGCAGCTCTCGGGTGCGGTGCTCCTGGCGGATGGAGCTGCCGGCCAGGCTGGCGAGCAAAAGCCGGAAGCTTGGACAGAGACGGCTGATGTGCAGGTCCACTGCGAGGATGCCCTGCTTGCAATAATCTTAATAGTAACGATAAAAAATAACTATACATCATAATGGGTGCTATAAGGCTTACTATAATGGGTATTATAAAAAATAAATGTATCACAATGGGTGCTATAAGGGTTACTATAATGGGTATTACAAATTCATAAGCGGAATTTAACTGCGAGGATGCCAAGCCCGCCTTTGTCTGCCACCATGGCCCTGTGCTCTTCGCCACGCTTTGGTTTGTGGCTTGCATGCTCCTTTGGTCTCCGCTCCACGCGCGCTTCGAGCCTCTGCATTCTTCTGGTTGGCTCTTAGGACTTTAACTTCTTGGTTTTCTATATGAACTATAAGGAAGCTGAAACGTGTCACTTTTAGGAGGGGTTCCAATATCCCTTAATTAAGGAATATACCATAAATTTCAGTAGGATCCCTAATATGATATAAGGAATATTCCTTTTTTAAGGGATATTGGTGTCTCTGGGTAGCTTAACCAGAAGTCGGCCAAGGAGCCTAAATCCTAAACCCCTAAACCCCTAGACCCCTAAACCCTAACCCCTAAACCCCTAAACCCCTAAACCCTAAACCCTAAACCCTAAACCCTAAACCCCTAAACCGTAAACCCTAACCCCTGAACCCCAAACCCTAATGCTGATGTCCTAAACCCGAAACCCCATGGATCCTTTTAAGGAACCCTGTAGATCCCTTCAAGGAGCCCTTTAAGGAACCCCCCAGTCGGCCCAAGGAGCCAGAGCTTCGACCTGGTCAGTTTGCTTGGTGGCGACTGTCCTCCGGGACGGTGATGTCGATCTTACCTCTTGCTTATCACCCAGCTACCGGGTTCTTCTTTTAGGGGTTCTAGAGTTCAGGGTTTGGGGTTTTTACCTCTTGCTTATCACCCTGCTACTGGGCTCTTCTTTTGGGGTTTTAGGGTTTAGGGTTTAAGTTACCACAAAAATAGGGGTCTACAGTCAAAAATACGATTTCCTTATTATGGTAACTCAAACTAAATCCCTTTGGCAAGAACCCAGGTTATGACCAAATTCTTCCTCGGCTTCGAGCCGAGACGAGGACGTGTTTCCGTTCGAGCCGCATCGGTCGTCGTTTACTTCCTGGGCTGGATCCCACCCATGTACGTGCTGGGCGGAAAATACCATGTTCCGTACTTTGCGATGGCCATGGTGCTGATGGAGAGACGGGTCCAAACATGCACAGCATGACAGATGAGACCCCAAAGACTGAAAGAGGATGGAGAAGAGGCTGTCGGAGCAACACCCAAATTCCTAAACCGCAAGCTGATAAGATGCCTTGGCCCTGTAGATATCCTGTAAGCTGGACCGATTGTTTTGTTTTCTCATTATTTGTAATGTTTCTCCGCTGTCATTTTTTTTCGTCGTTGCCCCGCCATGGGCCTTCGCGGCCTGTCCGCCGAATGACAAAAAATGACAATCGAACATTCAACAAAAAGGACGACACAAACACGACAAACATATGAAGGACGCGATCCAGAGCCAAGAAGAGGCCGCGTCCTCCGAAACCGAAATTGTAGTCTTTGTGTCCTTCGTTGTCGTTTTTGTCATCGCTTTTGTTTCTTTTGTGTCATTCCGCGGGCAGGCCCATAGCTGGGCAACGACAGCACAATGACAAACGAACTGACGTGCAAATGACAACAAATGACAAATAGAAACGACAGCGACAAAAGCACGAGAAACCAGGAGTGACAAAAACATGACAACCAAATGACAAGAATGGTATCCCTAAACCCTAAACCCTAAACCCTACAACCAAATCACAAGAATGGTATCCCTAAGCCCTAAACCCTACAACCAAATGACAAGAATGGTATCCACGGCGTCTGCAGCAACCCAGAGACTCCAATACCACTTAATTAAGGAATATACCTTAAATTATAGTAGGATCCTTAATATGATTTTGGGGAATATTCCTTAATTAAGGGATATTAGACTCCCCTAAACCCTAAACCCTATAGATCCCCTATAGATCCTTTTAAAGGAACCCTAGGTATATTCCTTAATTAAGGGGGTTTTGGAGTCTCTGGGAAGACTTCTTAAGGCCCTAAGCCCGACACCCGAAAGCCACGATGGGTATATCGAACGGAGTGCGGATTAAGTTTGGGGTTTAGGGGTTTAGGGGTTTAAGAGCCACGGTTTAGGGTTTAGGGTTTTAGGGTTTTAGGGGTTTAGGGGTTTAGGGTTTAGGGTTTAGGGGTTTTAGGAAAGAAACACCAAATCAGGATCAAGAATTGAGTATAGCCGGGCAGGATCAAGAAAAGCTACTGATATTATTAATTACTATCACTTCTAGTGGTATACTACTACTTACTACTTACTGATACTACTATCATTGCTACTGCGACGATTGCGACGACGATTGTTACTATTAGTATTCGTATGACGATTATCCCTATTATTGCTTGTATTCCTATGATAACTGTTGTCGCTATTCTCGTTATTTATGTTGTTGTTGCTGCTTGTACTACATCATTATACAGTTGTTCGCTTGTCAGTATATTTAGTATTGTTGTTATTCTTATTACTCTTTTTGCTCCTATTACAGTTCTTAGGTGATTACGAGTATTGCTCTTAGTATTATCTAGCGCCGGTAGTGCTAGTACATTGACTGGGGTTACTATGACTATTTTGCTGAATATTGCTTCGCCATCAGCAACACCCTATTGAGCATTCCGGTGTCATACAGCTGCCGTCATCGGAAGCAGGACCACCGGAATCGAAATTGCTGAAGAGCTTGCCGCACAACAGCACCCATTCGCCAATAGTTTGCCACTGAGAACAAGCAGGCACCAGAGAAGCATTGAATTGTGTTGATCCTATTTGACGCCGGTGCCTGTCAAATTTTTCCTGGGTGCTACTTTTTTTTTGATCTGGCACCCGGGTAGAACGAGAGCACCTCGAAGAGCACAACGAAAGGCCGAACACTTGCCCAGGACTTGAGGACTTCAGCTAGGACCTAGAGTAGGCAGTAGGTCCTTGGTCCCTGTTTTAGGGTTCAGGTTCCCTTATAAGCCCCTTTAAACCACAAAGGGCACCCTTTTTGTTCCTAGGTTACTCTTGGGTGTAGTCAGATACTGTGAGCATGATGAAAGCCCAAACTGTGCTCAAGGAATTAGAATGGGGTTTTGGGGCCCTTTTACTATACTTATAATAAGGAACCACCAAAATAGTATTGGTAATGCTGTTTCTCTACAGCTTTGGTCCAAAATGTGTGCTTCACAGCCGGAGCCGCGAAACCACTTCGAACCTAACCGTGTTGTCGCACTGATCGGAGAATAAAGATAAGCCGGGATTCCCAACAGGTCTCTAGCAGAATCGCCCAGGCGAGGCATTCTTTCCCGAGGTAGTAAGTAACCTTGTGTTCAACCCTAAACCCTAAGCCATAGGGTTTTGGGGTTTAGGGTTCTGGTTTCCAGGAGACTTGGACGCTGGTGGAGTTCTCGCTGATGCACCGCTTGCACGGTGAGACACGGACCGTAGAGCCAGAGACGCCCACAAGCCTGAAGACTTCCACAACGAAGCCTAAGGACTCAGGGGTACAGTAAAACAGTAAAAAAATCTTCGGTTATTATATTCCCGAAGAAACAGCTAACATTACAATTTTTGCTAGGGATCTAAGTTAAGTATAGAGGACTTCAAGAAGCAGCTGCTGTACACCTTCGGTTTGGCTTCGTCGCGGACTCTCTACCAAGGGTCTATGTGGATCATTACTCTCGTTTATGGCATTCTGGAGCCAGTGGACAGGTATTTGGCTGGATTCTGGCTGACCACAGCAACCGCTTTGTCAGAGCTCGCGTACGTCGGTTCCATGCAGTTCCTTGGCCCCCGTAGGGGGGAGATGAAACTGAGAAGACACCTCTTATGCACTCTCTCTCCAGGCAGTGCGGTTAAACGGGTGGTGGGTAGAAAACTCCGACCACAACACGTAAAAATAATCCCTAAACCCTAAACAATACTTAAAGGATCATGAGACTTAGTAGCTGGGGTTATAATTAGGGTAACTATACTTATAACGACTCATAAACCCAATTAAGGTACGTTCAACCTTACTTACTAAGTCCCATGATCCTCCAAGTAAGGTTCCTGTACAACCGTTTTGTCTGGCGGCCGCGTGTGGATCCCTTGGCAAAGACGGCAGTTGTAGCTTGGCGTTCTTCTGGTTGACTCTTTAGACTTTAACTTTTTGGGTTTCTATATGAACTAGAATAAGGAGGCTAAAAGTTTAACTTTTAGGGTTCCTAAACCCTAAACCCTAAACCCTAAATCCGGGTTCAGAAGTCCGCCAAGGTAGGAGACCAAATTGAAGGGCCCTGCGGCCTCCTCTGTTTCGCTCTTGGTCTGCTATAAGGGTGGCTGTCAACAGTAGGGTCCCTTTTTGGGTACCCTAAATAATAGGTGCCGTACTATATTAGGGACACAAAAGGGACCATAATTTTGACAGCCATCCATCAGGGTTTTATAATATGGTGTCGTAGACTTTCTATCAGAGTTTGAGAAATCACTATTCATTACCAGAATACCTCGGTGCCCCTGAAGCCCTTTGCATTCTGGGGCTGTCTTTCGATTTGAGCTGAGCAGTGGAAGGAAGGGTAGCCCTATCGTTGCGGGAACCTAGGCTCACGGAATTACTGAGTCTGTGCGCCTTACAAATCTGCTGGCTGCTGCAGTTTGGAGCACCGGGTGGCAATGGAGTTGGTTGGGCACCATCGCGATGATTTTTGTGGCGAACGTTGCGCAACGCTACGGCCTCCATACATACATCATCACGTTGATTTTGCCCAAGCGGTTTTGGGGATGGATACGGCCTGGTTGTACCGCCATGGTGCACCGGCACGCGAGGTTCTACTGTGGCTATCATCGTTTCTTGGGTGTTATCAGCTTAGTTGCGGTGAATACAGTGTCGCAGATGGTAATTCCAGGCAGGACATCTGCACTCCTTTACAATGAGCAGACTCTTATCTTGGCCTTGGTGCTTCTGGGCTTCGAGATCTTGGAAGATGTGGTAGTATACCTGAATCTCCTCCCCCTCGACCCATGGCGAAGCAGGATGATGGAGCCTAGGTCGTGTACAGCAACATTCGGCAGACTTTAGCCATCGGTTCAACGTCTGCTCCGGATGCACACCGTACGGTTCCATGTCGTATATTCGTTGTTAAGAATGAGTTCAGCTAGGGCAACAGAGACCTAGAACACTGTCCCAGGAATTCTACGAGAAGCTGCACCCACTGCACATCAAGCAGCTGATGTGCAAGGACAACCGAGGAATTTCGAACGCAGTGCCCCTGCGACTTCATTGCGCACGCTGGTTGAGCCCCAGAGTAAGTCGGCTGCTCATAGAGACTTCGGCCTATTGGTGTGTGAAGTAGTTGGCTGGTGGAGCCTGGCCCTATAAACCCTAAATGCAAGACGTGAGTAATACCTTCGAAATATTTCAACGTGAGCAAGCATTTGGACCCCGTAGTCGAACTCCCTGCGCCGGTGGTTGCTGCAAGTATGAGCTGTATGCATGCTTTCCTTCACTGTTCCAAACTATGGCATCTTCAGTCCGGACTCGACATACCGGCGCCATGATTTGTGTGGATTGTCGGTCAATAGGTACCACCCTTGGCTAGTGTTGCCAGCAGTAGTCTGTGCTTGCTTCGGCGCTTAGAAAGCACTATGAAGCCCTAGGACAGGAATGCCTTGATGTTCATGGCGGTGGTAAGCCCTAAACCCTTAAACCCTAAGCCCAAATCCCCAGGACACGAATGCGTGGTGTTGTTGTACAAGCCTTCTAAGAAAGCCCTAAAGCCCTAAACCCTAAGCCCCTAAACCCAAAGACTTCAGAAAAGGACACGAACACTTTGATGTTCATGGCGCCTAAACTTCACCCTAAACTGATCCCTAAACCCCAGGATACGATCGCCTTGACGTTCATGGCGCCTAAACGACTTAACTCCAAACTTAACCCTAAACCCAAGGATACGAACACCTTGATGTTGATGGCCCCTAAACTTAACCCGAGGCCCCAGGATACGAACGCCTTGATAAACTTAAGCCTAAACCCCAGGATACCAACGCCTTGATGTTCATGGCGCCTACACTTAACCCTGAACTTAGCCCGAAATCCCCGGATACGAACGCCTTGATGTTCATGGCGCCTAATTAAACTTAACCCTAAACCCCAGGATACGCACCCCTTGAGTTTCATGGCGCCTAAGCTTAACCCTAAACTTCACTCTAAGACCCAGGACACGAACGCCTTGATGTTCATGGCGCCTAAACTTAACAACCCTAAACTAAACCCTAAACCCCCTGCATACGAACGCCTTGATGTTCATGGCGCCCAATTGAACTTAACCCTAAACCTCAGGATATGAACGCCTTGATGTTCATGGCGCTTAAACTTAACCCTAACTTAACCCTAAACCGCAGGATACGAACGCCTTGATTTTTATGGCGCCTAAGCTTTACCCTAAACTAAACGCTGAACCCCAGGATACGAAAGCCTTGATGTTCATGGTGCCTAAACTTCACCCCAAACTTAACCCTAAGCCCCAGGATTCGAACGCCTTGATGTTCATGGCGCTTAAACTTAACCTTAAACTTGGCCCGAAACCCCAGGATACGAACGCCTTGATGTTGATGGCGCCTAAACTTAACCCTAAACTTAACCCCATGACCCCAGGATATGCGAACGCCTTGATGTTCATGGCGCCTAAACTTAACCCTAAACTTAACCCGAAACCCCAGGATACGAACGCCTTGATGTTCATGGCGCCTACACTTAACCCTAAACTTAGCCCGAAACCCTAGGATACGAACGCCTTGATGTTCATGACTTAACCCTAAACTTAGCCCGAAACCCCAGGATACGAACGCCTTGATGCTCATGACTTAACCTTAGACTTAGCCCGAAACCCCAGGATACGAAGGCCTTGATGCTCATGACTTAACCTTAAACTTAGCCCGAAACCCAGGATACGAACGCCTTGATGTTCATGACTAAACCCTAAACTTAGCCCGAAACCCCAGGATACGAACGCCTTGATGTTCATGACTTAACCCTAAACTTAGCCCGAAACCCCAGGATACGAACGCCTTGATGTTCATGACTTAACCCTAAAATTAGCCCGAAACCCCAGGATACGAACGCCTTGATGTTCATGACTTAACCCTAAACTTAGCCCGAAACCCCAGGATACGAAGGCCTTGATGTTCATGACTTAACCCTAAACTTAGCCCGAAACCCCAGGATACGAACGCCTTGATGCTCATGACTAACCCTAAACTTAGCCCGAAACCCCAGGATACGAACGCCTTGATGTTCATGACTTAACCCTAAACTTAGCCCGAAACCCCAGGATACGAACGCCTTGATGTTCATGACTTAACCCTAAACTTAGCCCGAAACCCCAGGATACGAAGGCCTTGATGTTCATGACTTAACCCTAAACTTAGCCCGAAACCCCAGGATACGAACGCCTTGATGTTCATGACTTAACCCTAAACTTAGCCCGAAACCCCAGGATACGAACGCCTTGATGTTCATGACTTAACCCTAAACTTAGCCCGAAACCCCAGGATACGCCTTGATGTTCATGACTTAACCCTAAACTTAGCCCGAAACCCCAGGATACGAACGCCTTGATGCTCATGACTAAACCCTAAATAGCCCGAAACCCCAGGATACGAACGCCTTGATGTTGCCCTTGACTTAGCCCGAAACCCCTTAACGCCTTGATGTCATGACTTAACCCTTAGCCCGAAACCCCAGGATACGAAGGCCTTGATGTTCATGACCTAACCCTAAACTTAGCCCGAAACCCCAGGATACGAACGCCTTGATGTTCATGACTTAACCCTAAACTTAGCCCGAAACCCCAGGATACGAACGCCTTGATGTTCATGACTTAACCCTAAACTTAGCCCGAAACCCCAGGATACGAAGGCCTTGATGTTCATGACTTAACCCTAAACTTAGCCCGAAACCCCAGGATACGAAGGCCTTGATGTTCATGACCTAACCCTAAACTTAGCCCGAAACCCCAGGATACGAACGCCTTGATGTTCATGACTTAACCCTAAACTTAGCCCGAAACCCCAGGATACGAACGCCTTGATGCTCATGACTAAACCCTAAACTTAGCCCGAAACCCCAGGATACGAACGCCTTGATGTTCATGACTTAACCCTAAACTTAGCCCGAAACCCCAGGATACGAACGCCTTGATGTTCATGACTTAACCCTAAACTTAGCCCGAAACCCCAGGATACGAAGGCCTTGATGTTCATGACTTAACCCTAAACTTAGCCCGAAACCCCAGGATACGAACGCCTTGATGCTCATGACTAAACCCTAAACTTAGCCCGAAACCCCAGGATACGAACGCCTTGATGTTCATGACTTAACCCTAAACTTAGCCCGAAACCCCAGGATACGAACGCCTTGATGTTCATGACTTAACCCTAAACTTAGCCCGAAACCCCAGGATACGAACGCCTTGATGTTCATGACTTAACCCTAAACTTAGCCCGAAACCCCAGGATACGAAGGCCTTGATGTTCATGACTTAACCCTAAACTTAGCCCGAAACCCCAGGATACGAAGGCCTTGATGTTCATGACCTAACCCTAAACTTAGCCCGAAACCCCAGGATACGAACGCCTTGATGTTCATGACTTAACCCTAAACTTAGCCCGAAACCCCAGGATACGAGCGCCTTGATGCTCATGACTAAACCCTAAACTTAGCCCGAAACCCCCGGATACGAACGCCTTGATGTTCATGACTTAACCCTAAACTTAGCCCGAAACCCCAGGATACGAACGCCTTGATGTTCATGACTTAACCCTAAGCTTAGCCCGAAACCCCCGGATACGAACGCCTTGATGTTCATGACCTAACCCTAAACTTAGCCCGAAACCCCAGGATACGAAGGCCTTGATGTTCATGGTGTTCTTCTGGGTGCCGATGGGGATTGGCTTCACTGTCGGGATTTGCTCTGAGCCCATTCCAGGCGACCTGTTGTCCGCAGGAAATAAGTTTTGCTTCGGCTTTAGGGAAATAGAGTTTAGGGTTTTAAGGTTTAGGGAAATAGAGTTTAGGGTTTTAAGGTTTAGGGAAATAGAGTTTAGGGTTTAAGTATTTTAGAGTTTAGGGTTTTAAGGTTTAGGGAAATAGAGTTTAGGGTTTTAAGGTTTAGGGAAATAGAGTTTAGGGTTTAAGTATTTTAGAGTTTAGGGGTTTAGGGTTGAGGGAAATAGGGTTTAGGGTTTAGCGTTCTTGCTTTCTTGTTGCAGTCGCGGTGGTGGCGGTTGCAGGAGTCGTTGTATACCTGTAGGCTGCTTGGAGTGCAGCTGTTGTTGTTGTTGCTGTCGCTTTTCTCCCTGTATCCTCCCTACTTACTTGCTACAAGTAAAACTATCCAAGACAGGCCGTAGTGGGTGTGGAAATGTGTACTTAATTCCAAAGCCCGAGAGAGCTCATCAGGTGAGTTGCGTGCGCTGGATGCGATTGTTTGGACCACACCTTGGCGTTGCAGCTGAATCTCGAAGGTGTCATGTAGACCCCTGATCGCTGAACCAGCTTGCGTTCAACGGATCTTTCGACTACTGAGAGGCCCAGGGGACTTACTAAGTAGGTTATGAGTAGAGTTATAAGTCTCCTAAATGAAGTTGCCCCAATTATAACCCTACTCATAACCGACTTACTAAGCCCCCCGGGCCATGAAGTATGGCCTTCAGAGGTCTGCATTAAGTTCAGTGGCCGCCTGTCAAGCAATTTAGCGGCTGCAGCATTTGTACGCCCGGCACTCTTCGGGGGTCAGTGTCAAGGACACTGCAGGGCCCTCGCCCATTCTTTAATTTACCTTAGTTCCTTATAAAGGGAACCTATTCAAGAATATTGATAAAGGGCTTAAAGCGCAACCCAGTTAGATCTTGTGAATGCAGAAGCAGGACATGCATTCACGCAAGCATGCATACCGCATTCATGCATGCATACCTGCAAAAACACAGGCACATACATTTGCAAGGCGCGCCCTCAGTGTCCCGTTTTGTATGTATGTAGGTGTATATATGTATACATACACACATATGTGTGTCTGAATGTGAATATACAGTGACATGTCACGTCTGAAAGGCATTAGTGGACGCGTAATCACTTCTTTTCGTTTTTGTGTGGCAAAGGTTCCTCTTCGCTTGGTTTTTTGGTTTAGGCTCCTAAACCCAAACCCTCACACCCTCAACACAGTGTTTCAGTCTCGAGCCTGTTTCCAAGACCCAGGGTCCGTGTTTCATAGGGACCCTTAAGGGGGTTGGGGGGATCGGGGTAACGGGCCGTAGTGTCCATAATAAGGACTTGATAAGGCTTAGTTGGAAGTACAGTCCCCTACCCTCCTAAACCCTAAACCCTAAACCACTTCCCCCTTATCCCCCCTAAGGGTCCCGATGAGTGTTGCCATGGCACAGCCAAAAACCCCAAAGCTCTAACTCAAAAGCCTGAACCTCAATCCCTAAAGCCGAAGCAAGGTTTCAAGCATTGAAATTTGGCTGCTTCGGCTTTTGAATGGTGGGTGGTTTTCGTTGAGGTTTTGAGACTCAAGGCTGCGTGGTTTGAGGCTTAGGGTTCATGGTTGAGGGTTACGGTTCTGAGGGGCTGTGTTTCGTTCTGGCGATGGAAGGTGTTGCGTACCATGTGTGTGTGTGTCTGTGTGAAGTTGCATATGAACAGGATGTTTGAGTCGGTCAGTACCGTCGCTGTAGGTTTTGGCGTCATCGTGATACTTCTACTTTACCTCCTTGAACCCCCTTCCTTGAACTGCATCATGAACATATGTGGTTTCGTGTTCGGTTCGTACTCTATCCCATTGTACATGCGTTTTAGCAGCTTCTGTTGTAGTGTATCCCGTCCATCGAATATCAATACCTATCTCTATACTGGCAGCATAAAGGGAACTCCAGAAAGTTGGAATATGGTTTCAGGGTAGGATACCCTATAATTTACCATAGAAGGGTTTAGGATAACCATATTCCAACTTTCTGGCTTTTACTGTAAGCAGTTGTGCACGCAGCATAAGCAGTTGTACCCTAAAGCCTAAACCCTAAACCCTAAACCCCTAAACCCTCACGGTACGTCGACACTTCAAAATACATGAGAGTTCGTGTTTTCGGATCTTGGGCTGACTTACCTTTGGTTAGTAGGGAATGGAAGGGGCCTTAGAAAGGGGTCTGTAAGGGGTACTATAAGGGATCTATAAGGGTAGTATAATATAGGGGCCTTAGTAATCCTATAGCTTACCTTTGGTTAGTAGGGAATGGAAGAGTGGTAGAAATAGCAGATAATTGTACCCCATTCCTCCATTCCCTACTAACCAAAGGTAAGCTTACTCAACATTGGGGACAATAGAGCCTTGTCAAAGAGGGACGCGGGCCTCTACACAGGAATCATCTTCTGATTCCCTAGTGACTATAGCTTCCTATTGAGCAACCATATTCCTCCTAACCATCTAAGTTTCGACCTGCCTCTTGCAAGAATCGGGGGCTGTAGGTTAAAAGCGGGGTGGTTTAGGGTTTAGGGTTGAGTCTTCAATTGGCAGATTTTTGACCATTTGTTAGTTGCATTGTTTCCGCTCTCTTCCGGCTTGCCAGTCCGAGGATGGTTTTGTGAGTCGCAGTTTTCTTGGTGCACTTTGGGACATTTTGTAATTGCCCCTGATGGTTCCCATGGAGGTACGTACCTACACATCGGTGCTTTTAGGGGCCGCAAAACTACAACCCAGTCATCGTTTCTTATTCGGAGTACCCAAAAGCTAGATACTTAGATTGAAGGAGTTGGATTGCAGTAACTATATGTTACAAGTCTCACCCGACCGTCGCTACCACAGAATGTGGCGCTTTTGTTTTAACTCCCAGCCATACGGCTTTTCCTGGAAGGGTTTCTACCAAATGGCCTACAAGTCAAGGGTTCTGCAGAGAAACCCAAGACTGTGAATGTAGTTGTGTTTCAAGGCTCTTCTTCTGGGTCCTTGTTGAGGCACTTAGTTTAAGTTACCATAATAGGGATCTACAGTCAATTCACGGTTTCCTTATGGGAATTTCAGAAAATGGGGGACCCTAATATAGTGCCCTAAATAGCTGGATCCTTATGATGAGGCCCCCAAATAAGGTACCCCTTTTTTCGGAAACTCCTATATACTGGTGCTTACTAAACCCTAAACCCTAAACCCCTAAACCCCGAACCCTGAACCCTAAACCCTAAACCCTAAACCCTAAACCCTGAACCCCTAAACCCTGAACCCTAAACCCTAGACCCTAAACTCCATGACAAGAGCCCAGTGAGAGTCGAGTCTCTGCCGAATCAAGCAGAGCAGCGGCTTGAACTGTCTGGCTCTTAGTGGGGAATGGGGGAATGGACTATGGAGACTACTTGGGTACGGCCCCAACTCAGTAACAGTTGGATAATATTCATAATATAGATATATAAGGCCCTTAATAGTAGCCCTATTATAGACTGTTACTGTATGGGGCCGTACCCAAACTATGGAGACTGCTATTGGGGATTATATAGGGACTACTACTTGGAGGGTCATGGGACTTAGCAAGTAAGGTGATGAGTACCCTAATTGGGGTTATAAGTGTAATCACCCTAATCATAACGCTGGTTACTAGGTCCCATGATCTTTTAAGTATAGGCATCCGTTCCCCCATTCCCTACTAAGCGCCAGGGAGTGAAGGTGCAAAGCACCCGAAATGCGCAGCCCCAAACCCGAAATTGGGCTGAAGAGGATCTTGTTTACAAACATCTTTCAGAGGGTTTAAAGGGCCAACCTAGAAACACACTAAACCCTAAACCCTAAAACCCTAAAGCCCTAAACCCTAAACCCTAAAACCCTAAGACCCTAAACCCTAAAACCCTAAGACCCTAAACCCTAAACCCTAGACCCGGTCATCAGACAAGGGGTGGTATACCGACTGGGGCGATGAGGCCGATGAGTGAACGTGGAGACTGGCAAGCACCCCAAGTTGAGTCGCATAATGTTGCGCCGATGACACCGGGGGCAATGCCGATGACACCGGGGGCAACGCCAGCGGTTCCGAGCAACATGATCTTGGGGGCGTCCTCGCTACATGTGGCCCCAAGCACTCCTTCCTCTTCTATGCCGGCAAGCACGACGTCTGGGGTGATGGCTCACAATGTGGCTCCGAGCACTCCCCTACGTATCCCACCGGTGCCAGGGCCTCACTATGGATTGACTACGCCCTTCGATGAAAGAGGTATGCCGCGAACTCCGCGTATACCAACAGCGCCGCAGTACTACCCGCCCACACCTCTGGATGAGTATGTGACTGTCGATGGGGCTATAAGGGATATCTTGAGTGCTGGGTCGACCTCTACTACGACGGAAGCTATGTCCACCTCAACCACTTCGACAACTCCTTTACAAGCAGGAGATGATGAGGATGTGCCCTCGGAGAATGGACCTGTGGAAGAATGGGAGGATGTACCTGCAGAAATCTGGGACGCACATGAGTGGGAGGAAGAAGAGGATGACCTCAACCATGATGCCGCTGGTGCAGGGCTGGAGGACGTGTGGGGTGAGGACCAAGCAGTTGACCCTGAACAACCTGAACTTGGGGGCATCCCTACAGCAGTGGTTACGGGGGATGACCTTGGCAACCTCACACCGGCGGAGCAGGCATTTGCGCAGCGAGTTGCGGCACTTTTAGTGGCGCAGTTGTGGTCCCTGCTGCATACAAGTGGAATGGTTGGCGCTGCTTGGCCGGAAGACAGGGATGTCCGGCCAACTCGCACTACCCCTCCTTGGAGACAGCCGGGACCTTACGCTGGTCGACCATCTCGGGCACCAGATCCTGCATGGTCGGTTGATGACACCTGGGCCTCTATTTCGAGGGCTACTGGCCTCACTCCTCGCCAACTACGAGTTAATGAACTTCTGTTGGGCACTTTGGGGCGTAGAGGAACAATGGGACGTACGCCTGTGCCGACTGAGGGTGATGCTACAGGCACGGTTCTGACTGCAGAGGGCCATGGGCAGACGGAAGGATCGGGAATAGAGGCTCCTCTGGACCCCGACGATGTTTCTCCGGTAGGTGAAGATGTAACAGAATGCCCGGGATCTCTGGAGGAGGAAAACAATGTGGTGAACAACGGGATCTCGCAGACGGATGTGCACATGCCAGTCGAGGACCTGGAAATCCCGCTGCTCGAGCCCAACCCTGACATCCCTGACACCTCTACTATGACCTCTACTACGAATGAAGATGCAGAAATCTCCAGGGATGCAACAACACATGTGGCAGCCAATGTGGACGAAGGGTCGTGAAATACGTAGTTGCTGTTGGCCTGTTAAAACACAGGTAGTCTCACGCTATGGGCCCGAGCAGGGCTGGTGCGTTCGGAGAAAGGGCCGCCAACATAGGTTAAAAAAAAAAAAAACCCTAGACCCTAAAGTCGTAAAAAAAAACCCTAAACAAAAACAAAAACCCTAAACCCTAGTTTTTCCGGCTTCGGCTCAGATCCGACA